ATATGTGTTTAATTTGCACGTCGTACGCTGTAAATTAAGTTTTCTGTGCCGCCCAAAATAAAAGACGTTCCAACCAAAGCGGTCGTTTAAATAAAAGTCGTTCCGTTTTGGATGGCGTAGTCGGTAAGAAGAGAATTGCAAACCACAACTATTAAACAGACATATACACGTTAGATAAACTATGGTTCGGACACATTGGACACATCCGATAGGACATGGTCAAATTAAAGGAAAATGTTGATTGTTGCTAACCGACTGATTAGTAAACAATTGTTTCATGACTTTCTTAATCCAGGAAATATAATGATATGTGTAGCTCCATTTTGAAAAATTTTCGAGTGTCGATTATAATTTGTCTATATAAATGGGCCCGAATTCATCCCCTCACTTGTTGGATAGGTATATTCATACGCTGTATCATACATCGGTTCGATGGAATTGGGACTAACCCACGTTTTGTGGGGAATGAAGATTTTTGCTAATCTTTAATTTTTCCCAAATAAACCTATCCATACCTGCATTTCCCGCAATTTACCTTGTCAAAATATTAATTTTGACAATGAAATATTGCCAAATGAATTAAAAAAAAAAATTAAACCTATGATTGCATTACTTTACCTTTCTAAATCTGTCATGCAAATTCTTTAACTTTCATAAAAATTTAGAATATCGACCACCTTCACAATTTGTAGACCTTCAAGTATGAGCCGGGTAGAAGATTTGGAATCAAAAATAGGGAGAATATGGTTAAAGGAAATTTTGCAATTTTGTTGTTGTCAAGAACGTTGATGAAACAGTAAAAAAAAAATTACCAAAATCAAGTTTCAGAGATTCTTCTAGAACCATCCGTTTCTTTCATCATAACCTTATGAAGGTGGCCTCATTTAAAATAGACGTAACCAGCTCTGCAATTTCTCGTTCCTTATTAGAGCAAAGGTTCCCATCCTGATATACAATGGAGTTATGAATATTTCATTTGGCAATGGGAAATTTTGAAAGGAATTATTTTTAAAAAATCTAAGCATATAGTTGCACGAGGATTTCGTCTTTATTTAACATCCGATTCCATTCAGACTTGGTACATCTCAATATTTGTATCAACACAGGATCTGTTTTAAAGATGGTAGAGATCGGTCTAATGCTTCTGGTACCTGCCCCACAAAGGCACAACGTTTTGTATAACCAAAACGATTATAAAATCCGAAATAAACATCCAGTTCTCTTCATATTTCACACATCCCATTATTTCTGCTATCGCAAGATCTGCTTTGATGATGGGATATATCGGTCTACTCCTTCTGGTACTTCCCCAACAAAGGATCAAAATTTTGAATATCCATGAAGCTCATAAAACGCAAAAATAACATCTGATTCCATTCAGACTTGGTACATCTCAATATTTTTATCAACACAAGATCTGGTATAAAGATGGTAGAGATTGGACCATATCTTCTGGCAAAGTTTTGTATATCCATGAAGCTCATAAAACGCGAAATTTACTTCCGATTCCATTCAGACTTGGTACATCTCAATATTTCCATCAACACAAAATCTGGTATAAAGATGGTTGAGATGGCACCATTCCTTCTGGTACCTCCCCCACAAATGGTTTGAATAGCCAAATCGATTATAAAATCCGAAATAAACATCCAGTTCTCTTCATATTTCACACATCACATTATTTCTGCTATCGGAACATCTATGTAAAGATGGGATATATCGGTCTACTCCTTCTGGTACCTCCCCACAAAGGGTCAAAATTTTGAACAACCATGAAGCTCATAAATCGCGATATTAACACCCGATTGCATTCTGAGCTGGTATATCTCATATAAATATTCAAACAATTTAATGCTTTTTTTTTATCGAGAGCCTAGTTGACTTGGCTTTTCGGTCCCAAGATAGTTATGAAACCGTCTACTTCATGGATGGAACGACACTATCAGGATCAGGAGATTTACCTATATTGATAACAGCCATTAATGGGCCATAACCATGACAACTTATAGTACGTTTAAAGCGAGGCATAACTACTAGGTAGCGCTGTCGTGGCAGCTGCATCTGGAAAATCCATACAGGTTGCATCCCTTTTGAGACTGGATTTAGAGAACCAGATTGATTGGAGTCATAAAATGGAAACAGAACGAACACAGATGTATGAGCTGCAACAACAACAAGTCAAATAACAAAATGTTCAAATCAAAAATAAGAAAATTTGTAAACCTACCATAGCTTAAATTGTAAACCTACCATAGCTTCTTTTTGAAATAGGGGGAGTTAAAAGCCTATAGGGGTATTCCATGCAAACGAAATGTTGGCTTTACAAATCGAAGAATGGTTGGTCGCTTTTTCGTTTTACAAGGTTTTCATACTTTTTTTACCATGGTGTTGCGATATGTGCACTGCTAACGTCAACTATTATTATTTTCCCTTCCACTTGAATTGCTAGCCAGGGATGCCATGTTTTTTCTTACAAGAACTCGGATTAAGTCAGAAAAAAAGGTTGAGGAAGAAAGAAATTATGTGTTGACGAATAAGGTTGACGTTGTTAATGAATGAGAATTACCTTTTCACTCTCTCTCCCTAAAGCCGGGTTTTAAAAAGGCATTGTTTTCTCATTCTCTTCTTCAGCTCTTCTAATACAGTTTTCGCAAACATTTCATTGTAACTTGGCAATCCATTTGCATACGTATGTAGGTATATATTTAGGTACGAAGATGTATAATTTCAGTTTTGCTGTGTTTTGTCGTTCTCTCTTTTTTATGTTTTGCCAAAAAAAAGTGATGTCAATAACACACAACGCAAAAACACGCCAAAAACTTGTCTTGCATAGTTTTGTATATAGAAGTTGGGCTTTGTCAGAGAGAATGGGGATGTTTAGTTTAATATATGGTGGAATTATTGAAGTGTGCAGATAACCATGGTCTGTAATTAATCCTAGAAATGTAGGCGAATATTTTATTGTCGTTTTATTAAAAAATATAATAAATTGTGGTGAATCTCGCATGGGAAAACAATAGAGGTCGCTCAGTCGAATAAAGCAAATATATAGATTTACAATATCTTGTGGATTTAACTTTTCAATTCCATCCTCTTTTGACCAAACCCGTTTCAGAACATTTGGAGTCGATCAGGTGATGTCCGTCTGTCTGACTGGCTGGTGCGCACGATAACTCTCAAAGGGAGTATCCGATTGGTCCAAACTTGGTACATCGTAATATTTTTGTCAAACTTAGATCAAGTTCGGAGTTCACAAAAGGTCGAAATTATCAAAAAATATATTTTCTGCACAGAAAGAGAAACGATAATCCAATTTTGCCTCAACTATGCAAAATCTAATATTTGCGTCAGTGTTAGGTTAGATGCGAAAATGGACAATATCGGTCCACTTCATCAAGTACCTCCAACACAAAGGGTTCAAATTTTGAATGATTATAGCTCTTATAAAATGTGACGTAAGAGTCCGAAAGTTCACAAATTAAATAGATCACAATATTTTTATTAACCCAAGTTCTGGTGGGAAGATGGAATATAACGGACCACTCCTTCGGGTACCTCCCCCACAAAAGTTTGAAATTTTCAAACAAAATATTTTACTGCACAAAAAGAGAAAGGATTATTCAATTTTGCTCCAACTTTGCAAATCCTTGTATTTGCATAGGTGCTGGGTCAGGTACGAAAATGAACAATATCGGTCCACTCCATCAAGTACCTCCCACACAAAGTGTCAAAATTTTGAATAATTACAACTCTTATAAATTGTGATGATCTGATTGTCTCCAAATTACACATATCACAATATTTTTATTATCCCAAGGTCTGGTGTGATGATGGAATTTATCGGTTCACTCCTTCTGGTATCTCCTCCACAAAGGTCAACATTTGTAATAACTAAAACGATTATAAAATCCGAAATAAGCATATTCGGTTCTCTTAATATTTCACACATCACACCATTTCTACTAAGACAAGATCTGCTGTGAAGGTTGGATATATCAGTCCACTCCTTCTGGTTCCTCCCCCACAAGGGGTTAAATTTTTGAATATCCATGAAGCTCATAAAAAGCAAAATTAACATCTAATTTCGTTCAGGCTTGGTATATTTTAATATTTCCATCAACACAAGATATGTTTAAAAGATTATAGAGATCGGACCATTCCTTCTGGTACCTCCTCCACAAAGGGTCAATATTTGGAATAACCAAAATGATCATAAAAGCCGAAATAACCATCCGGTTCTCTTAATATTTCACAGTAGGGATAATGGGATATCCCTACTAACACAAGATCTGCTGTGAAGATGGGACGTATCGGGCCACTCCTTCTGGTACCTCCCCCACCACAAGGGGTACAGTTTTAAATATCCATGAAACTCATAAAACACGAAATTAACATCCGATTCCATTTAGACTCGGCACATCTCAGTATTTCCATCAGTACAAAATCTGTTCTAAAAATGGCAGAGATCGGAAGATATCTTGTGGTTCCTCCCGCACATAGGGTTCACGATTTTGAAAAACAAAAGGCTCAAATGAAGCGAAATAAGCTTCCAACTCTCTTCAAATTTCACACATCCAAATATTTTTGCTAACACAAGATCTGTTGTGAAGATGATATATATCTGCGAAATCCCTCTGATACCTCATCCTCAAAGGTTCACAATTTTCAATACTTTTATCTGTCATAAATTGCGAAACAAGTCGTCGATATTTGAATTGAATTTGAAGTCAAAATATATATATGATTTTTATATATAACATGACGTTTTCATTGTCTTGTTGGACTCGATTTGTATCTCCCTTTCGATCCCCACTGATACATTAATGTGTTTTTAACAACAAATGTTAAAAATCCTACAAAATATAAAATAAACAAAATCACTAAATTTGCAATACTGTTTCGCACTGTACATTTTGGCAATTCTTTCATTACATTTATTTTCTCATCTTTGAATTTTATTTTCATATTGAATTTTGCCTTCTTTTTTCCTACATTTTCAGTTTGCGAAACGTCGTACAACAACAACAAGAACAACAACAGCAGCAGCAAAATCATCATACACCAAACAAAACGGGGGGAGAGAATTCGTGTGAGTGCGAAAGAGAGAGAAAATCAATACTAGCAGAGCGTGCTCTGTCAAGAGTGGCAAGAGTATAGCAGGCGGCAGCAACAATAATAACAACAAACACATCAAGCTACCAAAAAAAAAAAACGAATGAGGTGGTTGTTCAGCGCAAACGAACGAACTCAACACACCAGTCAGTCAGTCGAAGAAGAAGAAGCAGCAGCAGTACCATCAATACACAACACAGTCCCACAAGCATACAAACACACGGACACACACCTCTACATACTGTCATCATCAACGTCGCAAGGCAACGCAACCAGACCAACAGCAACACCACCAACAACAACCATAATATAATAAAGTACCACACCGACTGCAGCAGAGAAGAGACGTCAGTCGTCGTCGTCGCAGCAGCAATAACAAAACCAACAACAGCAGCAACAGTAATAATAATAAAAAAGCAAAAAAGAAACGGTAAAACGAAGAAGAAGCACCAACCAACAGCAGCAAGCAGCAGATACAAGAAGACAAATATGAACTAAATTTTGATGGTATTAGTCGTCCGTCGTGTATAAATCAGATGAGAGGAGGATATAGGTGAAAGAAGAAACTCACGCACACACAAGGAAACCCTCAAACAAAAATCAATTGGTGTTTCGGTGTTTCTGTTATTTTTTTTCGTGTGTTAAGATTTAATTCAACAACTGAAACTGAACCGAACTCTCGGCTGAATCGCAAAAGGAGAAGAAGAAGAAGAAAACTCAACTCTAGTTGAAACAGAAAACACAATTTTAATAAAAGTTAACGCCGCGTAAACACACCACCACCAAAATTTTAATAATGAATGGAGTCGCAAAAATACACAAAAATAGTTGAAGTGAGAAGACACCACAACGACGGCGAGCAGAAACCAAACGTTGAGAAGAAAGATATACAGCACACACAGAGAAACAAGGGAATAAAATAAAAACCGACGACGAACAGTGGAAAACCCGAAAGAATTGAACAAAAAATCGGGCAAAGAGAACGAGGAAAAATAGGATAAACCGAAGGAATTGAAGAAAAGAAAGAACAAAAAATAATGATTGGTTGGGGGTGAGAAAAACCAACCAAACCAACCAACGAAAGTACGAATATAGAGAAAAAACAAAAAATTGAAAATTGTTTTTGTGATTTCATATTTCCATTGGCGTTTCATCGTTTTTGCTGAAAGTCACTTCCATCGCCTAGCCATCCAAGTACAATAGACACATTTCAAAACTCGAGTCAACCAAGAGCAGCAACAACGATACTAAAATCAACAAATACAGGGTGAGTGAGCGCCAATCGACGAATCGCCAAACGGGCGAGCAACAAAAGCAAGAGGAGAGGAGATTAAACGCCGCCGGAATCATCAACGTAGATCCAGCGGTTGTTTTCCCTCCACCGCACAGCGGTTTTTTGAAAGCAGCAGCAGCTCCCAACATCATTGACACATCACATCTCCCCTCACCATCTAGACCATCTAGAAGCAAGCGGCAGCAGCCAGCAACAGCAACAATATAACCAACAAACATGTATGGCAAATCTAAAACCTCATCGGTGCCTTCAGATGCTCAGGCCCGTGAAAAATTAGCTCTGTACGTGTACGAATACCTGCTACATGTCGGAGCGCAAAAAGCAGCACAAACGTTCCTCTCCGAGATACGATGGGAGAAGAACATCACACTGGGCGAACCACCGGGTTTTCTGCACACATGGTGGTGCGTATTCTGGGATCTGTACTGCGCCGCCCCCGAAAGACGTGATCAGTGCGATCACTCGTCAGAGGCCAAAGCCTTCCACGATTATGGATTTGTCAGTTCGGGTTATGGTGTAAACGGAATCGGCCCTGGTGGTCCACACAGTGCTGGCGGTCCAGCACCCAGTCCTCTAGGTCAAATGCCTCCCGGCAGCGATGGTCCCATGGGGCCGGGTGGTCCAATGGGAGCGAATTTCTTTCCCAGTTCAACGATGAGACCTTCACCGCCCACACACGCCTCAAGTCCACAGCCGCCACCATCACAAATGATGCCGGGTCAACCGCCATTTATGGGCGGTCCACGGTATCCTGGCGGACCCAGACCAGGTGTGCGCATGCAAGGCATGGGTAATGAGTTTAACGGACCACCTGGCCAGCCCATGATGCCTAATAGCATGGATCCCACGCGGCCGGGTGGTATGGGTCCAATGAATCCTCGCATGAATCCTCCACGGGGACCCGGTGGTATGGGTCCCATGGGTTATGGCGGTCCGGGAGGAATGAGAGGTCCAGCGCCTGGTCCGGGTGGCATGCCACCCATGGGTATGGGAGCGGGCGGCCGACCACCTCAATGGCAACCGAATGCGACAGCGCCCATGAATGCGTATTCATCGTCATCACCGGGCAACTATGGTCCCGGTCCAGGCTCAAATGGTCCTCCGGGACCGGGTACACCCATAATGCCATCACCACAAGATAACACACAGGCCGGCCCCGGTGGTCCTGGCGACAACATGTATTCACTAATGAAACCAGAATTTCCCATGGGCGGAGGGCCTGACGGCGGCGGCGGGGGTCCCGGCGGCATGGGTCCCATGGGTGGCGGTCCGAATTCTATGGGTCCTGTACTTAATGGGGGAGCGGGCGACGGCACCGGTCTTGATGGTATGAAGAACTCACCAGCCAACGGAGGACCCGGCACGCCTCGAGAAGACTCGGGCAGTGGTATGGGTGACTATAATCTCGGCGGCTTTGGTGGACCTGGGGAGAATGATCAAACAGAATCGGCGGCTATATTAAAAATCAAAGAGAGTATGCACGAAGAAGCGAAAAGATTTGAGAAAGATACAGAAAATAACGACTATTTCATGCAATAACCGCCCGAACAAACCAACCTCGTACAACCGCAACAGCCACAAACAACAGCAGCAGTAGCAGCAGCAGCAACAGATATTGATGAAAAGATGAACAATAGTAACAATTCCTCTTCCTCCACCACCTCGGCGGCCATAATCAATTCCAGTTCCAGTAGCAGCACCACAGCAAACGGCAGCAACAAAATATGCAGCAGCAATACCGGCCATCATCATCAGCAACAACAATATCCGGCTGAAATGACTGGGGAATCACAAACAGCGGCAGCAGCAGCATCAGCAGCACTGGCATCTTCTTCAGCTGCCCATAGCAGTTCCAGTACCGCCGATGAAGATGAGACCAGTGCATTACTGGCGGTAGCAATGATGAACAGTGTCAAAGAGGGTCTGGGTTCTGCCATGCTTCAACATTTGTGGTCCTCAATGGCTGCAGTTTCCAAGCAACCGTAGACGCGCCGAGGGGGGTGGTGGTGGCCAGAAGCGGAGCTGAGGATGAGGGAGAGAGAGCTGAGTTAAGGAACGCGCGCTCCACGCTCGGCATCCAACAACATCTCCTGTAAAAAACGACTTAAGATTTCGAATTGTGAATGCGCGTCTTGCCATGATAGATGAATGAATGACTCGAAGAAGGAATGAATGAATGTCTGTATGCGTGCCGCGCAAACGCCGCCACCGCCTGCAATTCGAATGGCTTTTGTTGGTGGCAACGCATCCCCACCCACCCCACTTCTAAAGCAGCCAGCCGCACAATATATTCAAGGAAACCAGAAGAAAACAGCAGGATGACAGGAGGATGAATGTAAACCTATGGTAGTGTGGAAGCATTAACAGCTAAAACAACAACAAACAAACAAATAAGTCAACCATTACAACAACAACAACAATTTACTGGTAAATGGCATTAAGAGATAAATTAATTTTTTTATTTTTATTTTAAAAATTATTTTTAGTTTTTGTAAATTTAAATTAAAACAAATCAACAAAAAAAAAAAAACCGAAACAACAACAACAAAAACAATTATTATTATTAAATGATATATACATATAAAAAAATACAATACAAAACTATAAACAAATGATGGTAAATTCCCTCAGATGATGATAATGATGATGAAAAAGAAAACAAAAAAGAAATTTAAATAAATTATTTTCAAAAAAAAAAGAAAAGAAAAATTGAATTCCAATTTAAAACTGTCCCCCGAAGAACAAAAAAACCTTTTGGTTGCAAAACCAAACCATCCCCGACATTCTTTTGGGAAATCCAAACTTTGACTGTATCCTTCCTTTTGCGTCGATCTAATTAAAGCCATGTAAATAATAAGGGATAAAATTATAAAAAAAAAGCAACTGTTGGATTTGAAGGCCTCTTCAAGGGGTCTTCTATTCGTAGAAATTCTTGTGATCAATAGAAAAATAATGGTCTGCTTAAGGGGTCGCCAGGGTATTATAGGTTTTTGCTCTTGATAGGTTTTCTATAGATCGGAAAGGAAGACTTTGTGGACATTGTGAAAGATGTTGAGTTGAATGGCCAGAAAGCAGATGGTGTCTTAGACTCCCAGAAAGAATTTCTTTTCAGAGGACGACAGAAATTCCAAAATGAAGTGCAGGGCCAGCATAATTTCGGAATTTTAGAGTCATTTTTATAACCCGATATATAAATTATTTCATTTTAAATTTAGACTTTAAAGTCCTTGTGTGGAAACATTTCCTGCAAGTTAGGAGCCTTCATCATTGGAAAGTAAGACATTGAGGTCTGCTTAGGGTTTTTGTTTTTGATATGTTTTTGTTTTATAAATCGGAAAGGAAGAATTTATAGCCCGATCCAGATGAAATTTTGCACAAATTGAAATTGGAGATAATCGGTCAAAATTTAGATATAGCTCTCATACATATCTTTGTCCGATTTCCATTTTATGGTGCACCAAGCGTGTAATATTTGTCCAAATGGGATGGATTTTGGCGCACACGGCAAAATTAAGCTTGGAAATAAGTATGCCAAATTTGATCGATATCGGTTCAGATATAGCAATAACTCCCATATATATTGTTTAGCCGATTTGTTATTTTTGTCCTCCGCAGCCGTAATATGCACTCTGTAACAACAATATATGGGATAATATCTTAAATACAGTTCAGAAACACATTTGCCAAATTTTATCGAGATCGGTTCATATTTGGATATAACTCCCATATATATCTTCGTCCGATTTGCCTTTTATTGTGCACCAAACTTGAAATATTTGCCCAAATGGGATGGAATTTGGAACTTACGTCCAAATTGAGCCTACAAACAGTATGTCAAAATTTGTGATAATCGGTTCAGACATAGCTATAGCTCCCATATATATTGTTCATCCTATTTGTTGTTTTTGTCCTTCACAGCCGTAATATGCACTCCGAAACAAAGATATTCGTGGAAATATATCAACTACAGTTCAGAAACACCTTTACAAAATTTTATCGAGATCGGTTCATATTTGGATATAGCTCCCATATATATCTTCGTTCGATTTGCCTTTTATTGTGTTATTTCCTTTGTTCCTTTGGACTTTAAGACTTTTTTTACTGGTTATTTAAAAAAGGTAATTTAATAAAGAAAAATATTTGGACAATCTGAAGCTAGTTCTTGCCAAGAATTTTGTTAAATGTCCGGAATCTAATATCTTTATGTGGCGACCCTTTTCAACCTAACCTAATTCCAGGCTTTTTGAAGCTGTAAAAATGGAAATGATGCAGTTTAGTTTGGGTTTCCAGGAGGAAGTTTTTGGTTAACAAAATTCCAAATGGATGGCTAAGTTTTTTTTTTGAACCCCCCGTCAACAAAAAGTAAATGGACCATTTAGAAAAAAATAGCATAGACTACAAAAAAAACTACGAAACTAATTTATTTTTTGAAATCTAACTTGCCCCACCCCCCTTGTCTACCTACTGTTACTTAGAAAAGGCCCCCGTTCCCGACCCAAACAAACAAACAAACCATGGAAAATAAAAGCAGTAAAATCACTTAAAAGTATTAAAAGGATCATCTTTTTTTTGTACAGTTTCTAAAATTAAATAACTATGAGGATCTAAATAAATTAAAAAAAAAAAAAAAAAACAAAAACAAAATTCTCAACTATTAATTGAATTGAATTAATTAAGTATATTGTATTATAATAACAAATCTATGATAAAAAAAAACAACTCGTTTATTCCCTCTATCTCTCCCAAAAACATGATCCCCCAACTCTCTCTCACTCTCTCTCTTTCCTAAACTCATAATTTGTATTTGTTTCCTTTTTTCTTTAGATTTAAAAGCTAAAACTGTTTCACACATACACACACACACACCCTATTGTATAAAATTATTAAAACAAACAGAAAAAGTAGATCCAGAGAAAAAAAAAACAATTCTTAATAATATACTATAGGTACTTATATAAATTAAATTAAATGAAAACAAAAATATACTTAAAAAAAATACAAAAATAAAATAATAAAACTCTTCTTGGCTTTCATGATGTATTCATTAAGGATTTGTAGTAAAGATTATTATTATTACTATTATTCAAAGCAAAACAACAAAGCAGCAGAAAAAGAAATATATAAAAAAATTTGTAATATAAACAAAAACAAATTCGTATACATTTATATATTTTTAAATATTTTAATTTTTTATTTTTCTTGTCAATGACAGTTTTACATATATTTTTATATATATATATATACAATATTCGATATTAAATATCTTTGATTTATATTTAAAAAAAAAAAACATTTTTGTTTTTTGGTTTTGATTTCCTAATTTGGTTGTTTTTTTATTTCATAATTGGCTCTTTGTAGAAGGCGGTGTGTAGTTTCAATATTTATTTTTTGAAGTGTGTTTTTTATACCCTACCCCATACTGCGGTCAGCAGGGTATTATGTCTTGGGTGGGGCGAATATTTTCGCGATAATATTCTTCATTTATTCTGATGTCACGGTCGATTAATACGAGCAAAGAGCCACCATCGGCTGTTATGGCAGCGCATACCATCACCATGGCCGGCCCTTGAGTTCTGGTGGCCAACCGAAGGTGCACATTTTCAGCTGACCTCTTTGCCAAGTAAACACGATCATTTTGTTTGTTTACAAACTGCTGGACAACGAATGTTTTCTCATCGAAGAAACCTAAATTAGGCAGTTCACCACTTTCAACTAAGCGAAGCAACTCTTTAGCTCCTTTGAGTCTATTTTCTTTCAGTTGCGGTGTAAGTTCTTGCACTTTTTGGTTTTACCCCGAGCTCATTTTTCAATATTTGCGGAATGGATTGCGATGATATGTTCAGCTCTGACAGAAACTGGCTCTGATGAGTTCAAAAATTTATTTCGAACATTGTGGAATATAAATGTCATATATTTTTTATATTGGAACAAGGAAATAAAAAGGAAGGGCTGAAAACTAAAATATTAAATAAAATCTTCAAATGTCATTAAGTGAGAGGGTATCGGTATATGGCGACGATGCTTTAACGTGGACCTAACATCAAAATGTGTTGGTTACTTTATTTTTTAGTCATTATGAAGCTTCGCTAAAACGAATCAGATCGATTAGTTTTACGGAAACATTTTTGTCACACCTTCCCAAACATATGGAACCACTGTGGTGCTAAAAATTTCGGTTCCATTCTCAATTATGTCATAATGGTTTCCATTGATTACAGAAACCATAAAACTATTGATCATAGCTTTTGGAATGCTGTGTAAGTATAAAGGTGAGAATACATAAATGTTTTTTTGACTGGCTTAAGTCGTCGAATAACTTCTTGGGAAAAGAATAAAGGAGCGTAGGTCCAAAATGGAACTAAGTTAACGTAAAATTCCTTTGGAAAAGGATAAAGGAGCGTAGGGCCAAAATGGAACTAAGTCAACGTACGAAGAAGTCAACTCTACGTAGAAGCTAGCCGATGACTTAAGCCAGTCAGAAAATCGTTTTATGTATTCGCATCTTAAGCTATTGCTAAATTTTGGTGTATAGTTAAAAAATTCCAAATTTCTTGTAATAAAATATATATTTTTGAGACTTTTCCGATTAACTATTTCTAGCACCTTAAAAAACGCCACTCACACACACACACAAAAACTTGAAGTTTGGGAAGTCTCTATTGAAATAAATGCAGGCCTGCTTGCTACGTTTTCTATTGGTGTGAACAGGAATACCTTTTCCGCCATAACTTCCACATCCTAAGCACCTTAGAAGATATGCAGTTTTTGGTTATTTGTTAAAATTTTAGTTTTAAAAATCCACTTTTTTCTTTTTTTTTGTGTTGAAACATATTAAAAATATTTTTTTTTATTTTGCCTGGACTCAATCAATGAGAATTATGCTCTGTTCAAGAACCTGCAAGAATCTACTATTTTTGCAATTTTTTTTTCGATATCATAAAGGGAAAATCGGTTATCGTAGTAAGCTTTACATTCTTGCTTTACAGTTCTGGAACAGACCATTAACTTTGAGGTTTTGTTTCCTTTTTTATTGAAATCATGGCAGACAATTCTTGCATTGTTCCACAACTTGAAAAAATCTACTAGTTGTGTTTGTTTAAGGCTTTTTGATGTTATAGACTTTTGCAGGAAGTCGACTATTTATATCTTTTATGAACTATGAAATGAAGACTTTTCTGAAACCAAAACCAAGTAGCAGCCCTTATAGATAACCCAAAAATTTATGAAAGATATTTGGTCTGTTCCAATGCCTGCAAGAATCTACTAGTTGTGCAATTTTCTTCGATATCATGAAGGGAAAATCGGTTATCATAGTAAAAACGTTTACATTTACATTTTTGCGGTTCTGGAACAGACCAATTTTTTCGTTTTTTTTTATACCCTCCACCTTGACGTAGAACTTCAAAATTTGGCACAACACTTTGTATTGTGTCTACGATGGTTGGTATTGGTATAGCCGCCATATAACGGTACCTCACGATATTCGGTATTTTGATGATTTTAGAAACATTTTTACAGGGATTTGTCCAAAAAATTGGTATTTGTAGCTCATAATGGGTTCTAGTTCTGGTGGCGATATATTATGTACATAGGTCCACGTTTTGGTATAGCCGCCGTATTATGGTACCTCCCGATATTCGGTATTTTGATGATTTTCGCCATATTTTTCACGAATTTGTCTAAAAATTGGTATTTGTAGTTCATAATGGGTTCTAGTTCCGGTGGCAGAACATTGTATGTATAGGTCCACCTTGCTGTATATCCCCCATATAACGATACCCATCGAAATTCGGTATAATCGCAGTCACATTTACCCACGAAATTGTTTCAAATTTGGTTTTTAAGAGGATTTGGTAGATGACACTCCTTGAAGTATTAAATATATCGTTTTGTTATGGCCTCCAAATATCGGCCTCACCCACCTTTGTGGTATTTTGAAAAGTTTAACAGCACTGCTTGCTCTGTTCCAGATTCTGGAACATTTAAGTGATTATTTTAGGGTTCTGAATGTAATGGACTTCTCCAGGAAATCGATTATTAACAGCTCTTATTACTTACTACTAATGGGGAAGCCAAAAATCAAGTAGCAGACTTTAAAGACCAGCCAAAAAAAAAACTTGAAAGATATTTTTAAGGGCTTTTTTTTGTTTATTTTTTGTATAGCTTTAAAAGTTTTTACTACGATATCCGATGATCGATTCTAGTAGATTATTGCAGGTTCTGAACTGGACCAATTGTTTTAATAGTACATTTTACCACAGAAAACTTTAAAAAACTAATTTTCAAATTCGAAAAAATTATATAGCTAAACAGTACGTTTACATATAAATGGGTTAATCAACTGGATTTGGATTATAATTGTCGTATCCATTATTTATACTTCAAATAAATCCTCTTAAAGTAGGTTAACCCTACAAAAAGGCCAAACGTATACATGGCATAAGACTTGTTTGTAATAATGTCCACTGGGAAGGATATCTCCATCCAATATATTTTTCTGATTAAATTATGCTGCCCACCATCTTGACGGCTGTCTGCAATTGTTCTTTTTCTTCCTTTGTATTATATTGTTGTTCCTTTTGTTGTGAATTAGTGTTTTCACAAAAAATGAAAATTCCTTTTTTTTTGATCACAAAAATATGTTCCGGCATCCTAACCCCAAAAAAGAGATGGCCTTGTATTTCCTTAATTATATTTTAAATAGAATTTTTTTAAATAGATATCTACATTAAAACAACTATTGTAATAAACTTTTTATGGTCTTCATTGTATACACAAAACTATGGCAAATATTTATATATATAAAATAAAAAAAATTAAAATAAAAAAGAAAATAAACAAAATAATTATTAATTATGAAATTATTGTACAAAAGTTTATATATATATATATAGTTATATTAAATTATGGTAATGAAAAAAAATTTAAAAATGAAAAATAAGTAACGTAAAATAAACCTACTATATATTAAATACTTATATATTAGAAACGTAAAGCATTTTTACTTAATTTTTATTATTATTTACAAAAAAAACAAGAAAAATAAACAAAAAGAAATAAACAAAATAATGTACACATATACATATATAAATAAACCAATATATTTTAATATTAAATATTAAAAAAACAAAAAACAAAGTAAAATAATAAAAATTATATTGCGTTTTAGAATAACGTTTTTTATTATTATTATTTATAAAGTCCTGTTTTTTAGTTTGTAATTATACTAGCAAAGCAAAGCGTTTACATTTTTTAAATGTTTATATACATATATATATATTTTTTAGTTCCCATTAAAAATGAATTTACATTTTTTTTAAACAAGAACGTTTTAAATCAAAAAAAAAAAACTATAATTTTACAACAAAAAGCATATACATATTAAAACAAAAAAAAAAACACAAAATGTGGGAAACCCTAAACTAATTACTAAAGCATAATTACAATAATCTGTAATGGGAATTTTTGCTAAAAAAAGATAAATTATTTATAAAAATAAAATAAAGAAAATTAAAAAAAATCAAACAAAAAAATTGTAAAATTTTTTTCAAAACCAATAAAAAAAACTTAGCATCCAAACCGAAAAAATAACATCTTAATTAGCCACTAAGACCTAAAAAATCATATACGGAAAAAACTATTAATTTAATAATTGCAAAATGGAGGTGTTTAAATAAGTATTTTAGTGTTAATTATTAAAAAAAAGTAAATAAATAAAATAAAAATCGTACACACAAAAAAAACCGAATATAAATAAATTACCACCCCAAGAAGAAGTTAATCCCAGGCCGAAGAACATAAAAATAACCACACATAAGTGAAATAACAACAAAAACAAAAAAATCTGTAACAGAGACCCACATTACAACAAAATAAATAAATAAACAAAAAAATAATTCAAATTTGAACATCCATTGTCATAATGATTAAATAGCATTATTATTATTATGATCTACATCTCTCTACATTGCAACACATTACATGCATACATACATACATATATTCTCAAAACAAAAACAAAAACCAACAACAATAATAATGACAGAAATCATAACTATAATACGATGATAATGATGAATGCTAATGATAATGAATTCATCAAAAAAAAAAAAACAAATCTGAAAAAAAGAAACAAAAACAAATGATCAACCCCAACAACAACATGATGATGAATAAAGTTTTAAACAACAACAAGAAATATTTGTAAAAAGTAAATGAAAAATTGAATATTGTTTTATTTAAAACATTTGACAAGGAATTGGAAAAAACTGAAGGTAAGATTTATGTAAAGGTTCTGAAAATAAGAATTTATTTAGTAATCTGATGATTACTAAAAGGGTGAGAAAAAACAAGGGTGAAAGGGTGAGATAAAAACAAGTAAATAAACATTAAGTTCGGCCGGGAAACATTACAACCCATTATGACCCACAAATACCAATTTTTAGACACATTCGAAGGTACCTTTATATGGGAGCTATACCAAAACGTGGACCTATGCACGCAATATTTTTCCACCGGAGCTAGAACACATAAGGACATACAAATACCAATTTTTAGAAAAATCCGCAGAGAAATGTGACAAAAATCATCAAAATAAAATATAATATATGGGGGCTATACGACAACGTGGACCTATACATACAATACTTCGCCACCAGAGCCAGAAACCATTATGACTTACAAAGACCAATTTTTGGACAAATCCGTGAAAAAATATGGCGAAAATCATCGAAATACCGAATATCGGGAGGTACCTTTATATGGGGGATATACGAAGACGTGGACTTGCACAGACAATTTTCAAATACCAAATTTGAAACCATTCCGGTAAATAATGTCGCTAAAATCATCAAAATACCGAATATCGGGAGGCACTGTTATATGGGAGCTATACCAAAGCGTGGACCCATACATACAATGTTTCGCCACACGAACTAGGACCCATTATGACCTACAAATAGCATTTTTCAGACAAATCCATGAAAAAATCTAGCAAAAATCGACAAAATGCCGAATATCGGGAGGTACTGTTATATGGAGACTATACCAAAACGTGGACCGATGTATCTCATTTTCAATACCAACCATCCCAGACACAATATAAATTGTTTTGCTAAATTTTGACGTTCTACGTCAAATAATGTGGGCTGTATCGTGATTTCAACAGACAGACAATATAATGAACTGTTACTGGAATATTTTTAACAACTGTCGGACGAGTGGTTTAGAAATTATTGTTAAAAATTTTTTTACTGATCTCCTCAAGTTAGAACGAGTTATTTAAATTCATTGAAAATTTATTTTCAATTCTATAAAATGTTATTCTTTTTTATTCAAAAATTAATATTTACAAGACTTGTCTTATGAAAATTATCCTTAATTATAGAAATTATTAATAATAAAAAAACACATCCATAGTATAGAAATAACAACAATAACTTCTTGACTTGAACACTGGAAGAAACGTAGAGAGTAGTAGCATAGACACTGCCATTTGTCCGTTGGTGCAAACTCTATTCCACATCAAATCTGGAATAGCCCTTAAAACGTATCGATGAATTCGTTGTCGTTTTTTGTGGTACAAATCGCAGACTACTCGATGCCAGCGAACCGGTGGTGGCCGAATTCGGCACGACTGCAGGGCGGGCGATTGTAAATGTATCTTCCAAGCTGACGGCGTTAGCACGATTCGTACTCTGTAAAGGGGAGAGGAAAAACGGAAATTGTAAATTTTTATATTTATTAATTGCATTCATTATTTAATATTGACAAGTCTCCAGGGCCAAGAACCTATGTATATAACATTACCAAGTAGAATTTAATTATTAAACAATATATTGTATAATAATTAATATATAACTAAACCTTATAACAATAGCTCCCCATAACTACAAAAAAATTTTGTATTTGAAGATCAAACAGTAATTAAATCAGGATCGCCTAAACTGAATTAAACCATAAAAAATTACGTTCCACTATAACTCATTTCTTGGGTAATCGACAAATATCGGTAAAATTAAAACACAAAATTATGAAAGTCGCTATACTTTTGACGGCAGCTCAAAGAATTATTTAGAGAATCGCCCCACAGGACCGCACAATCAAACCAAAAAAAAATTCACTATAGAATTTATACGCAAGAAGATAAAAATAATTGCCAATATTAACCAAGAACGAGTTAACCGAGAGAGAGAGAGGGAGGGAGAGAGAGAGTAAAGTAGTTTTATACTCTTTTTTGAAAGAAATTGAAAAGTAAGCAGACTTATGTTATATTTCGCTGTCTTTAAGCGTTTTGTTTTTCAAAACATTTGAACTCTATGTGCGGGAGGTACCAGAAGAAATGGTCCGATCTCTACCATTTTTAGAACAGAAATGAGTTTGAATGAAATCGAATGTTAAGTTCGTGTCTTATGAGCTTCATGGATACTGAAGTTTTTGTGTTAGTAGAAATAATGGGATGTGTGAAATATGAAGAGACGCGGATGCTTATTTCGGATTTTATAATCGTTTTGGTTATTCAAAACTTCGATCCTTTGTGGGGGAAGTACCAGAAGAAATGATCCGATCTCTACCATTTTTATAACATATCTTGGGTTGATGGAAATATTGAGATGTGCCAATTCTGAATAGAATCGATTGTTAATTACGTGTTTTATCAGCTTCATAGATATTCAAAATTTTGACCCTTTGTGAGAGAGGTACCAGAAAGTGTGGACCGATATATCCCATCTTCACTGCAGATCTTGTGTTAGTAGAAATAATGGGATGTGTGAAATATGAAGAGTATCGGATGCATATTTCGAATTTTATGATCATTTTTGTTATTCAAAACTTCGTCTCTTTGTGGGGCAGGTACAAGAAAGAATGGTCCCAACTCTACAATCTTTATAAAAGATCTTGAGTTTATGGAAATATTGAGATGTGCCAAGTCTGAATGGAATCGGATGTTAACTTTGTGTTTTATGAGCTTCATGAATATTCAAAAATTTGACCCTTTGTGGGGAAAGTACTAGAAAGAGTGGACCGATATGTTCCATCTTCACACCATACCTTGCGTTAATAAAAATATTGTGATGTGTGTAATTTGAAGACAATCGGACTCTAATATCACATTTTATAAGAGTTATAATTATTCGAAATTTTGACCCTTTGTGGGAAAGGTACTTGATGGAGTTGACCGATATTGTCCATTTTCGCACCTGACCTAGCACTGATGCAAATATTAGGATTTGCAAAGTTGGTGCAAAATCGGATCATCCCTTCTCTTTCTATGCAGTAAATTATTTTCTTTGAAAATGTTGACACTTTGTGTGGGAGGTACAAGAAGAAGTGGACCGATATTGCCCATCTCCCAACTCGATCTAAGTTTAATAATAAAATTACTATTTACCAAGTTTGGATCAAATCGGATACTCCCCCTTCGAGAGTTATCGTGCGTACCTGCCAAACAGCCAGCCAGCCAGACAGACGGACGGACATCGCTAGATCGACTTCAAATTCCTGAAACGGATTTGTTCCAAACAGACCTAGGGTCTAAAAATGTTGTTTTGGTGAGGCACGTTTTGGCTTATCAAATGATATATACCCTCTCTAGCCATATAGCTGAGGGCATAAAAATTATACATCATATGTTGGCATGAGATTACTTTCCATAATTTCACCATGGAGGGATTAAAACTTAATTTTAGTTGTCTTTTTTGCTTATCATGGGACAGGGTATAGAAAAGTTCAACCAGGGTCAAACATAACCTCTTTTTTCATTTGCCGTTTTTACATTCCTGCTATCCCTTGGGAGACCTTTTTATAACTAACCCAACCCCCATAGCGTTAGTTAAATTATTTTATCACAAAACAATAATACATGATTAGTTGGTTAACTATAAACAAAAATTGCATATAATAAAATAATTATTATTTACGGGGTAAATATTTGACACACAAACATACTAACCCATCGTTCCAAATCACAGAATGTTATAGTGTAACTAGGATTTATGACTGTATTGCTGGTGTTATTGTTAGTTCGGCTTTTACTCAACCTACTGCTGCCACCTACAACACCACTTCCTCTTTCACCGGAACTTTTAGTTGTTGAGGTTAGGTTATTGTTGTTGTTGTAGTTACTGCCACTTGCGGAGGAATTGGAGGTGGATGAGGAGGGCATTCTAAGATGTAGGCCTCGATTGGTTGAGAAGAGTATGGGTGTATTACGTTTTAGGGGTTTCGTTGATGATGACGACGATGAAGGCAATGAATTCGTATATGACACTGATGGTGAAGACGCTATTCTAGCCAATGCAGCTGATGTCGATGGCAGTACCTCATATTCATTTTCATCATCTGCTACCGATCTATTTGCCGTTTCACCAAACGAAACACGATTTGCAAGCCTCAGTGCTAATTTGGATTTATTATTTAGCGATAATTCCCTTAGACTCTGTTCGTCTGTTCGGGACATTTTGTTGTTGTGATCGTTTGGAAAATGTGCTCATATAAAATTCCTGGATTTAATGGCATTTAAGGGTTTAATTTTGTTTTTTAACCGGATGTCAAAGTGTTTTTTAAGGATTCTTTTTCGTTTTCAAACTTTTAAATATTTTTAACTTTTTTGTTTAAATTTTTAATTATTTTAATTAAAATGAAATTGCAAAATTGTATTTCTTTTTGTAGGTTCTTCTTTCTGTTTTCGGTTTAATTTGCGTTTCTTACTTTATTAAGTATAATTGCTATATCCTTTCTGGACTGTCAGTTGCTACGTTGCTATGGAACGGTTTTAGTACACATAAGGTATGGAACGTTTTTTTTTTGTGGTGTTACTAAGCTGAATTATTAGAACTAACGTAATGACCGTTATTTAAAAATGAAGGCCAGAAGATCGCAAAGTCTTCCAAATAAGATCAGAAGATTTTCTTTCATAAAAATCAGTAGACCTTAACCACAAAAATTTCAAAAGATTATTTTCGTTAGGGACCGGAAAAAATCGCATGTTATGACAGATAAAAGTATTGAAAATTGTGACCCTTTGTGGGTGAAGTACCAGAGGGGGTTTGCAAACATATATCATGCATCTTCACAGCAGATCTTGTGTTAGTAAAAATAACCTTACATTGCTTACCTCGAGAGATGTGTGAAATATGAAGAGAATCGGATGCTTATTTTGGATTTTATGATCGTTTTGGTTATTCAAGACTTTGACCCTTTGCGTGGGAGGTTCCAGAAGGAATTGTCCGATCTCTACCATCTACATAACAGATATTGTGCTATCGAAAATGTTGAGATGTGTGAAATATGAAGAGAACCGGATGCTTATTTCGAATTTTATGATCGTTTTAGTTATTCAAAACTTTGACCCTTTTTGTTTGAGATTCCAGAAGGAGTGGTCCGATCTCTTCCATCTTCATAACAGATCTTGTGTTGATGGAAATATTGAGAATGAATGGAATCGGATGTTAATTTGGCGTTTTATGAGCTTCGTGTATTTTCAAAATGTTGACCCTTTGTGTGGTAGATATCATATATCATTTTCACATCAGACCTTGGGTTAATACAAATATTTTGATGTATATAATTAGAATACAGTCGGACACTTACATCAAGTTTTATAAGAGTAATAATTGTTCAAAATTTTGACCCTTTTGTGGGGGAGGTACTTGATGGAGTGGACCGATATTGTACATTTTCACACGTGACCTAGCACTGATGCAAATATTAGGATTTGCAAAGTTGTAGCTAAATCGGGTTATCCCTTCTCTTTCTGTGCAGTAATTTATTTTCTTTGTAATAGTTGACATTTTGTGTGGGAGGTACCCGAAGGAGTGGACCGATATTGCCCATCTCCTTACTCGATCTATGTTTGGCAATAATATTACGATGTACGAAATTTGGACCAAATCGTATACTCCCCCTTCGGGAGTTATAGTGCGCAGCAGCCAGCCAGACAGTCGGAGGGACGGACATCGACTCCAAATGTTCTGAAAGGGATTTGGTCCAAAAAGACCTATGGTCTATGGCCTATTAAATGATGTATACCCTCTCTAGCCATATGGCTGAGGGTATATTAAAAGGTATTCGATGGTCTCTCATAGTTAAACAAAAACATTTATTTTATAGAAGAACAAAAGTATTTGTGCATAAAAGACTAAAGAGTATTCCAAGGCCAAATTGTTTATTTAATTGATAAAATTATTTATAGAAATCTCAAAAACACATAGGTTTCTTTCAGAGAAAATCGTCAGGCCTTTCGCAAAACCGAAAATTGTCATTAATAAAAAATCAAAAAGTCTTCTTTTATAGAAAAAAAATTGTTTCTTCAAAAAAAAATCAAACCACCTAATCTAAAACTTAGTTACACAGGTTTATTTTAAATTCTTTATAATTAAATATTATTAAATTATATTAGTTTTTCTTAATTTCCTCTGTATATATTGGTCATTCAGGCTGAATTGCTGTTTAGAGAGGCCATTAGGAATTCCATTTTATTTAGAAAACTTTTACCTTCGATTTTATCGAAACGGACCTGAAAAAAAACAATAATAAAATACATCTTAAAATATTACAACGAAAACACAATATTACCTCTTTGAAATGACCTCCCAAATTTTCCCAGAACTTCTCGGGCACCAAAGGATTTGGGAAAAAGTCTTGTCGTGGACTCTTTGCTATATACACTTTAACGTCCATTTGTGATTGGGTACAACGAATTTGAACGGCAATCATGCGATCGCTATTCGGCGAAGCCAACAGACAAGAGCTGGCGTTACCCAAGGGTTCCACTTTGCCAATGCCCAAGTGATTACTGTTCGATAGTACCTGCCAGGCCATTAAACGAGCTAAGTTAAACAGGCAGGATATTTGATGGGAATTGATTTGACATAGAATTAAATCACGTAACTCCTGGGGCTCATACGACAAATGCATGACACGGCCATCTCGACAAATTGCCTTTAGAGATCGCTCGCGTACATGAATGACAAGTGATGTGCGATTTAATGTGTCATAACTGCAACAACAGAGAAAAACAAAAATTTAACATATAACCCTAAATTAAAAGCGATATATTTCAATACCCACCCATGTGTAACAATATTAATTTTGACACACGACATTGTTGGACTGGTCATTGCATTCCAGTGTGAAACTATTTGCGGATCCTTAACATCCCGTGCCAGAGTGTCCAAAACATATTGGGTACGCTTTCGCATAAATATATGCTGTGCCTGGGCAATAATCTGTTCCAGTATTGTCTGACTTTTTGACATCTCCAGCAGACTTTGCCTATCGGCTGCCATTGGTCCGGCCAACATACGTTTTTTGCTGGGTCCCAACGGACCACTGGCCGGATGGGGGAATGGATGATGTGAGTTCTTGTGATGCACCTCACGCAACAGCTGATGCAATGAATGTTCCAGCACATGATCGTGATCATGATCATTTACCGGTGTTAGCTGATTACTATCTACGGTTGTTGAATGACACAAAGAGATGATTAGTTGTATGCCCGGCAGCAAGGTAGCACGTATCTGATTGCCAATGACCACATGTGGTATAGGTGCCTGCAGCTGGATAGCCTCCCTGGCCAATTGACTGAATAGTTCCTTGCAAAACAATACATTTTGGGCATCTTCTATAGTCTTTTGCCAAACACCTCCTTGTTGTGTGGTATTCGGTCCATGTCCCATCAAATTAACCGTTGCCGTGCAAAGATCTTCCTGATCCTTTTGGGTTATCACCTTAAAATAGGCAACACCTTGTAGTTCGGCCGGCACTATGACCCGCAATGAAGAGTTATTTTTAGGCGATGGATTTGGTAGGCCATTATTGGTGTTTGTCGACGAGGATGATGTTGAGGAAGACGCTCCCTCATCCTCCACAATGTCCTCGGCCTTTGTTACTTCAAAAGTCCCACTCATGCCATATTTGGAACCGGCAGTTCTGTAGCTTAAATCACCAATAATTGCATTGGAAACCTTCTTCAGGCGCCAATTTTGCCTCAAACGCAATAGCTCAATATGGAAGTCGGATACATTTCGATTGCGTTGCTCTGTATGGGTGTTTTTCAAACGTTCTGCTCCGCTCAGCAGGATTTGTGCTGCTTGATTTAAGGCCTTTTTCCGACTGTACACCTGAACAATGGGTTTGGTCTCATCACCGTCTGGATCCGGAACTGGATCCAACACCAAGTAACGTTTATCCTTTGCAATGGCTAAGACATCAGATAGAACACAAACTTCTGTCAGAGCATCGTTTAGCTTGTTTCGCACCGAATCCCAAGGCCAGAGGCTCGGTTGAAATTGATCATCTTTATCGGCCTCATCGCCTGAAGCTTTTTCCTCCTTTTTCAAATCCTCCAAGGATGTTTTGCTAAAGTCTATTCGTGCTGCACATTTTGTTAGGGTCTCGGAAAGCGTTGGTGGTCTGTAAAATTAGTTGTTAAATTGGCATTCCTTCCTAAACGAAGACTACTTACGTTTCATAGATCTCAGTACCATCGTAAGCAATTTCCTGTATTTTACTTTCGCATGTCGTCTCCACACTCACATTCACACCATTCGTAAAATTCATGGTGAACGGTAATTGAGTTTTCCCCGCAAATTTTGGGAGGAAAATCGGCAAAATCTCGGAAAAAATGAAAAGCTTCTCGCTGATGTTTTCACCGGCCAAACAATATAATAATACAAAGCCGGTTGACGTAAATGAATGGCGCTTTAATGTTATTATTAGTGTTGCCACGAGGGATAACAATATTCCACTTTTTGGTACAAAAATTATAATGTATTTTATTTTGTAAATAAAATCTGATGAATTTTGTTTATCAATTTTATTTTGCATTTATTTTCATTGCTACCTATTATTTCTGCAGAATCATTTGAAAAAGCATAAAAGAAATGTTAATAAAACGTTACTTTTACACGATATATGTGGCAGCACTGTTTATTATATTCATTTTATCGCCGTTAAAAAAGAATATGTCTCCGCTGCGAAATATTATTTGACAACTCTCCGCTGACATTTGTATGTATGTTGGTGTTTTCATCTTTCACGACGTCGTAAATATCTTCCAAACTATTTTACAAAAGTCGTTCTTCATTTGCTTGTATTTTATACCCAATTCATCATGGGAACTAAAAGGAAAAACATTGAAGATGAACTGTCACGGTTTGAGGCGGAAATATCAAAGCCTGCTACGGCTTCCACCACACTTTTTGTGCCCAATCAAGTGAGACCCATTATTTCCGCCAATACTTACAGTTTGATGCAACAGAAAATTCAACAACAACCATCCTCAGTAGTTCCGATAGCAGCGGCGGCATCTGTTGCAGCACCTCCTAGAATATCTTCAGTGCCTCCACCGCCCATACCGCCACCAGCATTTATGCCCACATTTGTTCCTACGCAAATAACAAAGTCAGCGCCAGTTGTCACAACACCGACTCCCGTCGTGCTAAGTAGTGCTCCCAAGTTATATGTCAGCAGGCAATCTGTAAATGTGCCCTCAGTACCCGTTGCTGCGCCCATCGACATAAATGCCATACAATTTGATGTAACACAAAAACTCAAGAAATTAAAGGCGGAAAAATCAGGACCAAATCCCATTGCAGAAGAGGCCATAAAAGCCGCCAAAGCTTCATCCGCCCTACAATCTTTCCAGGTCACAGAGAAAAAGAAAAAAGACCGCAAAACAGTACGAGTAGCTGGTGGACAAGTTTGGGAGGATTCCTCGCTGGCCGATTGGCCTGATGATGATTTTCGCATCTTTTGCGGTGATTTGGGCAACGATGTTAACGATGAAGTGCTCACTAGAACCTTTAACAAATATCCCTCGTTTCAACGTGCCCGTGTAATACGCGACAAACGTACGGGAAAAAGTAAAGGATTTGGATTTGTCAGTTTTCGAGAACCTCAAGATTTTATACGAGCCATGAAGGAAATGGATGGACGCTATGTTGGCAGCCGACCCATTAAATTGCGTAAAAGTACATGGAAACAACGCAGCTTGGATGTGGTTAAGAAGAAAGAAAAGGAGAAGCAACTGCTGTTGCAAGCCATGATGAACGCTTGATAGTTGTAACATTAATGAATATACGTTTGTACGTTTGAATGGAGCTCGACAAGTAGATAATCTAGTTTAGGCCAAGTTTTCGGCGTTGTTTGGAATGAGAAAAAATACTAATTTGTACTTTAGGATGAAGATAACAAAATAAAATTTATTTTGATACAACATTTGGTTGAATTTATAATTGTTTAAAGGCTAGCAATTAATCTTTCGAGAACCATTCAACAGCTAACAGCACTCATAGAGCATGGTACAATCATTTTGAAGGTGGGCACTTGCCAAAAAGGCCTCTAAAAAAATTGGATGGGTATCAAATAAATGAAGCAAGTTATAGACTCCAGCTTCACTTTTTTTTTCAAATTTTATCAATCCTCTACCTTGTAATAATTGTACCATGGGGGTTGAGAAATCCCCCGTGAAATCTTTAGATGTTAATAATATCCGACTTTCTTGGATATTCCTTTTGTTCCACGGTTGGTTTTTCCATTTGCAATGTTCAAGCATTTCAATGTGTGGCCAGCTAACTTCGTAAAAAAGGTTGCCATATGTAGGCTTCATTTTGCATTTCCAAGCTACATGATTAAAAGTCAACGGCGTTAACTCAGCACCAAGCAGCATAGGAACCAAGGTAGATGTACTAGGTAATCGCATCATCATCATAAATGTCATGGCGAATCTATGTTTTTCGCCTTAGATGCAAATTTTGACATTTGAGGGGACCACAAAAGTTGCTTTGTTGTAGCAATTCGCCGATGCGGTTACTTGTTAGATCTACCTTGATAGGAACTTAAACGTTTAATCAGGAAAGAGCTTGTATTTCACAATCAATTTTCACAAATTCCATTCAATTTGCGGTTTTTTGAGATATTTTTGAGGTTTAAGAACTGTTAAAATCGAATTGTTAAACAAAAAAAGGTAAAGTAAAAAAGAAATTGCAGAAAATTCTTCGTTACTACTGTTTTTGCATCTGTTTGTCCCAATTTCACAATATTAACCTCCAACAACATGGAAGCTTTTAACGCTGGAAATATATTGGCACATGAAAACGATTATTCATCATCATGTGCTTCTGACGTGGATGAACTTTCGCCATACGGATTAGAAAAATACGTAGTGGTTTCACCATTTGCAGTATCTTCGGATGAGAGAACAAAAATTGCCACGAGAAAGCGCAATGGAGAAGAAAGAATGCCAACGCGTCGTCCAGATCCCAAGGTCTATAATAGAAATGCATTGCTGGCACGGGAAAACCGACGCAAGAAGAAATTGTATTTGGAATCACTGGAACGAGAGGTACAGGAAGCCCGGCTGGCAAATCGAAATTTGGTAAAGGCATTAAAACGCCAGATTTCCTTAACCAAAAAACTGGAGCAGCGTACAAAGTATTATCAGAACATTATTGCCAATAAAGCGGAAATATCAAGTTTGCTTTCGATATTGGAAAGCCAGAAGTCAACAAGGCAAAGTATTTGCCACGATCAGACCAGTAATTGCAGCTATGGAGAGCAGTCAACCGATTTGGAGCCTGATAATAATGGTAGTGTTACAGAAACCGGCATAAATGGTTTGCAGCAATTCTCATCACCTGATCTTTTTATTTCCAACTTTCCATTAGATATGAATGATTGTCGCAGTTCCTTGGACGACCTATTATGGAACATCAACTGTGAAGCATCAAGTGAAGCCACCCTAAGTTCATCGGAAACATCAAATGTTTTCGATGAACACTCATATGGAATTACATCATCCTCGTCCGAGGCCCAATCATCCCCCGACTTCTCAGCAACATATAACGATTTTAATTGGAATGAAGACATTGGTTTTCTTGCCACCACCACCGGAAGTTGCATGCATTTGAATCGGGGTAAGGATTGTACAGATGAGTTCTGTATAATATGTAATTGTAATATGCCAAGTCAAAGTCCACCTCTACAACTTTTCAACGATGAGTTGTTATCTTAAATTATGTTGTTAATTTGTCATAGTTCTTTTGTTAAGTTTTTTTTTACATTATTTTTAGTCACTAAGGTTAGGTTAACAAAAAAATCTTAAACAAGAATAAGTACCCATTATTATTATTACATTCAAACTGCTATACAATTAAGTAACAAAAAAAGTAGGAGCATTAATTAGAGTAGACTACAATTGCAAAATGTTGCTGAGACATAGCAAACGGTATTAAACATTATTTTCGCCATTTCAGGGCAAAAGCACCTTCTTGGATGCGCCTTCTGAGACAACAACTCGGCAAAAGTGCTGATGGTCAGCTTGCAAAGTCAAGTTGCATCGGTGAACAAAGGTGGGTTATCGTAAAGCCTCAAGGCAAATGTGTGAGAGAACAATGTAATTTCGATATTTGTATTGAATCTTTTTGCAGCAAGGAATGAATGAATACCAAATGCAAACTGGATGCCGTGCAAATGATATAGACAACTTGGAAAAGAACAAAACAAAAAAGAGAAAAAAAACATAGCCCAGTCAGAGGTCTATAGAAAGCAATGACTGGCAATATGTACAGCGGCAAAGTTTTACATACATGGCAAAGGTACTGGAAATACATTTTTCAAATACGATATTGATCTTGTTCAGAAGAAAGATGTTGCTCAGCTTTATAATCAGAGAAGAGCAAACCCTTTGACTATTTTAAAAAATGCATTTCAAACTTTTGCCATACAATGTAATGATTTGCAGAAAAACTTTCGCCTCTTGTTTTGGCCACAACTTGTTCCACAAACAAAATTTATTTTACTAATTTTAAATCTCGTTTTTTCTCTAATTAAAGTTTAGTAAAGAAAGGCAGTCCTTTTTTAGAGAAAGAAATAAACAAAACGCATGTCACAAAGACGACGTTAAGATAATCAGTAAGTATTTACGGAAGGTTTCACCCACGCACCAAGGTATGTTACTCTAATATTGCTCCTACTTTTCATTTATATACCTACATACATGAACTTGAATATGTTTTTTACTACGCTGAATTTTATCTATGTGTAACTTTATTATTAAATAAATGTATTTATGTTTATAAAGAATTAAAAAAACAACGTTGTTTTTGATTTAAAACTATTTGAAAGGGGGAGGGTTCATTAAACACGAATTACCCAAATATTTGCACGTCCTCTTCGGATGTATGGGACCATCTGAATCAGGCACAACCTGAATCCACTGACTTTTTTCTTTAGTTACAGCTGAATTTTTGAACTTAGAGATAGGATCCGTTTAGCAGAAATCAGTCAAAACATGTGAGGTCGTGAATGGGGGTATGGGACTACCTGAATTCTACTCCAGCAGGCACTTTCACCTAAACCTGAATCCGCTCAATTTGGTTACAGCCGAATTTTCGAACTTAGAGCTACAATCCGGTTAGCACAAATCAAGCAAGACATGTAAATGTGGGTATACCCCCATACCCACATTAATTTAGTTTAATAATTTGTCTTCTACAATATAGGGACTGGATTTTTTTTGAAATTTTTATAAATCCAAAAAATACGAAATTTTCTAAAAATTTTGATTTTTCGGAGATGGGCAATATCGGCTCACTAATTCTGGTACCTCCCCCACAAAATGTCTATATTTTCAAAGAAAATAAGTCCCCGCACAAAAAGAGAAGGGATAATCCGATTTTGCTCCAACTTTGCAAATCCTAATATCTGCATCAGTGCTAGGTCAGTTGCGAAAATGGACAATATCGGTCCACTCCTTGTGGTACCTCCCCCACAATGGGTCAAAATTTTTAATAATTATAACTCTTATAAAATCTTGTGTAAGTGTCGGATTGTCTTCAAATTGCACACATCACAATATTTTTTTTTAACCCAAGGTCTGATGTGAAGATGGAATATATCGGTCCACTCCGCCTGGCACCTCCCACACAAAGGGTCATAATTTTGAATATTCATGAAGCTCACAACACCCGAAAATAACATCCGATTTCACTCAGACTTGGCACATCTCAATATTTCCGTCAGAACAAGATCTGTTATGAAGATGGTAGATATCGGACCATTCCTTCTGGTACCTCCCACACAAAGGGTCAACATTTAAAATAACTAAAACGATCATAAAATGCGAAATAAGCATCCGTTTCTCTTAAAATTTTGAACATCCCATTATTTTTACTATTTTTACTATTTACAAGGTCTGCTGTGAAGATGGGATATGTCGGCGCACTCCTTTTGGTACCTTCCATGCATAGAGTTCAAGATTTTTAAAAAAAAACAAAACGCTCAAAGAATGTGAAATAAGCATCCAATTCCCTTCAAATTTCACACAATCAACTATTTTTGCGAACACAAGATCTGTTGTGATGATGATATATATCTGCGAACCCCTTCTGGAACCTCATCCACAAAAGATCACAATTTTAATTTTTTTTAATTAAAAAAATGTTATTTAGTCATTGAGGTAGGAACATGGCAAGAACTCTATAACTAAACCTTATATTCATTGAGGCGCCCAAGTATCAACGAAGCTACCCTGACTGCAAACCTGCAACACTTATGGGCACGTGATCGCAAAACACCCCAGCGTCAGAGGGGTCCATTTTATGTGGGGACCAGCACAGAGGTTTGACTATTTTAGCAGTGCTAAAACATCGCCCTGTCAGTCTAAGGATAATTTGCAATAGGGTATTTAAGCTGATAAGCTGCCCCCACATTTCGCATCTAACCAGTACAACCACTGGACTTTCCATTATCCGCAACCTGTGGACGAATCTGCATGCAATCAGCTATGCCCCCCAAAGGCGGAGAGCCTTGTCTTGAAGGCTAGGAAACAAAATACCTCGTAAATCACTTTACCATTCCCTTTGATCAACTCCAATTGCAAAACACCATTGTTATTATATTTTCTTAACTTATTTTATTAATTTAAATGTAACTTAAAACCTATAATTACATTAATTACATTTTTTGAATATTCTTGAAAATAAACAAATATAACTTTTTCTAAAACTTTCTACATTTACTTAAGCGTTTTTCGTCCACTTTTGTATTAATATTAATAATAATTATTATAAAAATAATACAATATGTCTCTTTAGGTTACAACTTAAAAACTAATAAAAAACAACACACAAATAAAACGAAAAAGCACAGCTCAATATATATTCTTTGTCGGGGGTTTCAAAACGACTTTATGATATACACATAGTTAGGTATATAAATATTTAAATAATTCTATGGATTTTTTGTTTCTAAAACCATTTATTATCTGTCTTTGGATCATTGATTAATGGCCTCTTATCGCTAGTATCATTTGCGAATTGGCCATTGTCTAGTATTTGTTCCTTACACATTAGTGTAGCCTCACTCAGCTCATCACTGGGTACACGTTTGTAGGAAATCAAACGTCTTCTGGGCCGGCAGGCTGACGTTGATGCCTTTTCACTTTCGGGTATTTCCCTTTTCACTTGCGGTACTATTCGAGTTAGGGGACGATGACAATTTGGGGAAAATATTGAGGGATAATATTGGCGGTATATGTAGTAGGATACGAACAAACCGATTGCCCCACCGATTGTTACATCCTCCCAGTGATGGTGATAGTCACAGGTACGACTCACCGCCACCAAGGTGGCAAGAACAAGGGGAGCAATTGCAATGCACAGGCGCCAAGTTTGTCCACGACCACGATAATTAAAGGCATGCAGCTTGGCGCCCACATAGTAGCTAATAAAACCAAAACCGGCAAAGGCAACTGTGGAAAGAAGAGTAGCACACATATACACATTAACAGAGAAATCAAAAAGGTATGAATACAGGGTGAGATGAAAAAACTGCAATTAATTTTAGACTGCTGTCATTTCCGAGCCACTCGTCCGACAGCTGTTAAAATTATTCCAGTGATAGCTCATTCTATTGTTTACAAGCGCACAAAAGCATTTTGGTAATTTTTGCCAAAAAAAAGTTATTCGTAATCGAATTCAAGCGTGATAGTGTGATTTCTTTATATTTGGCTGGATAACCACAAGTGGCTATCTTTAGAGCACTCCAGCATTTAAATGTGAATAAATCTTTTGTGTCTCGTACCATCGCTCGTCACCATCGATACTAGTAGCGTAGCCCGACGTCAAGGAAGTGCAAAATAGCAACATCAGCGGAAAAGGTTCGAAAAGTAAAGAAGCGACTTGATCGAAACCCGCGTCGCAGTGGCCGAAAAATGGCTGGTGAGCTGAACACATCGCAACATTCCATTTGGCAAATATTGAAAAATGGGCTCGGAGTAAAGCCATTGAAATTCCAAAAAGTGCAAGAACTTACACCGCACCGCAACAGAAAGAAAATAGACTCAAAAGAGCTAAAGACTTGCTTCGCTTGGCCGAAAGTGGTGAACTGCCGAATTTGGTTTTCTTCGATTAGAAAACATTTGTTGTCCAATAGTTTGTAAGCATACAAAATGATCGTGTTTACTTGGCAGAGAGGTCAGCTGAAAATGATCACCTTCAGTTGGCCACCAGAACTCAAGCGTCGACCATGGTGATGGTGTGGGCCGCCATTACAGCCAATGGTCGCTCTCCGCTCGTATTAATCGACCGTGTCATTAGAATAAATGCCGAATATCAGTGCGAAAATATTCTGGAGGGTGTATTAAAATCTTTGGCACGCAAACATTTTGGCCGTAGACCATGGACATTCCAACAGGATGCACCACCATCGCACTTAGCACACGCCAACCAAGAATGGTTACAAAATGAGGTTCCTTGCTCGCATTTCCAGCGCACAATGGCCATCAAAATCTCCGGATACCAATCCGTTGGACTATTGTGTCTGGAGTTTTTTTTTTTTTTTTGACGGCAAGCTTGCACTAAAAAAATACCAAAGTCTTGATCACCTCAAGCAAGCGCTTCGCCGGGAATGGGGTAAAATAACGCAGAAAAACATTCGGGCAGCGTGTGACGGTTTCATTGGACGTTTGAAGACCACAATTCACGCCAAAGGTGACCAATTCGAACAAATCAAATCATATTCTTAAATTTGATGCTATTTCCGATATTTTTTGCTTTCATTCAATGAAATTTAAAAAAAAAAATGAAAAATTTATGGCTCTCGAATTTGTTGCAGTTTTTTTTATCTCACCCTGTTTTTTTTTTTCTAAAACTTACACGACGAGTGGCCACTGGGAAAACTTTTACGTCCCTCATTGATGGCTGTTATACTGCCGGTACAATTGAACAAATCCAACATATTATCCGTATTTGAGGTGATGTTGCTGGTCAAATGCATTACACCATCGGGAAAACAGCGATAAAAGAAATCAGGTCGTGGCCGTCCAACGCTGATTTTCAACAGACTTGTTGCCAACCCGTTGAGGCCCAATATCAATGTCCATGCCCAGGAAGCGGCACGAAAATCCCGCCTATCTTTGGTTAACATTAGATGAAATGCTGTCACCACCAGGGGACCAATTATAACTGCCATCAGCAGGGACAGCGGTGAGACATAATCACGGGTACGGGGATTTTTATACATCCACATTTCTTCGGGGTGTATGACACGTTTAAATGCCGTTTGGGTTTCTAATTTACTGGAAAGAAAATGCAGATTTATTCAATATTTTCTTTTTCAGGGAACATAAGCTAAACTTACCTAAAAACAACAACCAATAAAACACGAATTGCTATATCAATCCAATCGCTGACTTGTTTTGAGAACTCACCAAAAATCGCACAACCATCCAGCGCAGTATTCTCTTCTCCCATCTCCGCATTATGATGTCTACTACTTCTATACTTATGATGGCTATACTGCAAACCATTGCTAATACTACGCCGTGTCATTTTCCTTTTGTCCGTGCTGTTTAGCATCATTTCATCCTCTTCCTGACTACTGTCACTGGTCGAATATTTGTGCAATTGTTTATCGGCCGAACTTTCGCTGTAACTTCGTTTCGGCGTCAATCTTTTGGTGTAAATTCGACCAGTATTTGTGACACGTAATGGTGAATTACGCATAGACATTGTTTGCTCCGGAGCTTCTAAATTATTTACGCTCTGTCGAGGGGGACGGATGTGGCCAGCTCTCTTCGGCGGAGGATAGGTATCAAAATTGCTATGACGTTGTGTGTGGGGTTTTAAGAGATTGCTTCGCGCGTTTTGAGTGGTAATATCTTCTGTGGCTGATTGATTATCGTTGTCGTCGTGATTATTTAGTAGACTTGTGCCAGAACCGCTAAACATTTTACTGTCCGCCAAAAAATTAGCAGACACAGCGGTTTGGCTCAATGAGTGTAGCAATCGTGACTGGTGTTAGTATGAAAAGAAGAGAAGTGAATGAAATTAAAAATATTCAACAAAGGGAATGGTGTTTATGATAAGATAAGACAGGCTGGGGATTCATTTAAAATAACTCGAGGTGGGAGAAATAGATTCTTTACGATTTGTTTGGGGACAATTTTAGGCACTTGACAGGGTGAGATAAAAAAACTGCAATTGGTCACCTTTGGCACGAGTTATGGCTTTCAAACGGTTAACGAAACGGTCACACGCTGCCCGAATGTTTCTCTGCGGTATTTTGGCACATTCCCGGCAAAGCGCTTGCTAGAGGTAATCGACATAAATTTAAAATTTATTGAATGAAAGCAAAAATGTCGGAAATGGCACCAAATTTTAGAATAAGTTTAGATTTGTTCGAATTGGTCACCTTTGGCACGAATTATGGCCTGCAAACGGCCAATGAAAGAGTCACATGCTGCCGAATGTTGCTCTGCAGTATTTTGGCTCTTGCTTTTATTGAATGAAAGCAAACAATGTCAGAAATAGCACCAAATTTTAGAACAAGTTTTGATTTATTCGAATTGATCACCTTTGGAACGAATTGTGGCCTTTAAACGGCCAATGAAACCGTCACACGCTGCCCGAATGTTGCTCTGCGGTATTTTGGCCCATTCCCGGCGAAGCGCTTGCTTGAGGTGATCGACACTTTGGTATTTTTTAGTGCCAACCTTGCTTTCCAAAATACTCCAGACACAATATCCGGAAATGTTTTGTGGTCATTGTGCGCTGGAAATGAAGCGAGGAACCTCATTTTGTAACCACCATTCTTGAATGGCACGTGCTGAGTGCGAGTTGGAATGTCCAAGGTCTGGGGCCAAAATGTTTGCGTGCCCAAGGCTTTAATACAACCTCCAGAATATTTTCGCGCTAAAATTCGGCTTTTATTCTGATGCCACGGTCGATTAATACGAGCGGAGAGCGACCATTGGCTGTTATGGCGGGCCGGCCCGCACCGTCACCATGTGCGGCGCTTGAGTTCTGGTCACCAAACGAAGGTCCACATTCTCAGCTGACCTTTTTGGCAAGTATACACGCGCTGTTGTGCGCTGTAAACAATGTAATGATCTGTCACTGGAATAATTTTAACAGATGTCGGATGAGTGGCTTAAAAATGACAGCAGTCTGAAGTTGGTTGCAGTTTTTTCATCTCACCCTGTATTTGTCGTTTATTTCTTGATTTTTTATGTCATAACATAAAACACATCTCAAAAGAGTTTATACTTAGAGTTAACATCACTCAGCTGAATAACAACTACTAAGTTGTCACCAATAGTTACGTACCTACGTAAATGTTAAATATATACTGAATATGATCATATCAATACAGCAAAACAAACATAATCCCACCTAAACATTCGTATGTGTACCTTGTCAATATTTATCGACAACAAACATTATTGCATCGTGAGTATTTAAATTGTGACCCTTTTGTGATTGGCTTGATATAACAAATTGCATTTTAAGTAGTAGACTACTGTAATTACAAAAGTCAACAAGGCAAATCTAAGTATTATGGGAAACGTACATAAGCCATGCGTTCGCTCCATTAGCTCAATAATATGTTGCTGTTTTATTCAAAGCAGGGACCCAAAATATCTTGTTAAATATTACTTTTGAAAAAAAAATATTCCCCGGGAACACTGTATCCTTCTTTCCTTCCACAAAGTTTTCAAGATCCCGACTCCAAGACATTATGGCTATTACGGAAACGTTTAAATGTAGCTAGATAGGTAGTATATTGTTTGTTTTATTATTATGACTATCTGTCGTGTAAGGGTGACTTGGCTGGTTAGTAAGTGGTATTTGCGATAAGTAGATAAGAAGTGTGGTTGTGGCTGTTATTATCAGTATGCCAAATAAAATAATAGTTAGTTGTGCAAATACAATAGACTTGCCTCTTCTGCGACAATGGAAGTACTATGACGTCGACGTTGTCGTCTTCTCACATTAACAAATTCAGAAAACATTCTTTAAATTAATCTTATTAAACCAACACAGAGAGAGACACTGAGATGAACTATAACCACCACGCCACACGTGTTATAACAACAAAGGCTAAAAGAATCAAAGTTAATAATATAGTTAACAATTGTATTCAGTTTGCAAAAATAGTATATAGCTTTCACTTTGGTCTTGGTCGCCAATACAAAACCAACTATCCCGCACACGTAAAATACATAGATATTATAATTGTTTGTTTTCTTCTTTTCATTTGCCAATTGTTTCGTTTTTTCATGTTTCTGCAAACCACCCAATTTCTATTAAACGATATTTTTTTTGTATTATTTTTTACCACTTACATGCTTGTTTTTTTGTTGTTTATTGCTATGCAAAGATAATATTGATTAATTCCGTTGATACCACCGTTCTATTACTTCACTCACTTTGGGGCTCTCGAGTTATCGATTAATTTAATCGAAAATCATACGAAATCGGGATATTGTTATCAAAGTTGACGTCCAGGGTCGTTAAAGTTTGAACTTTCATATGGCGCATTTATACTGTTGAAGATTAAGCCACTGGATTTGATAGATCTAGGCCGATTATTACACCTTTTCGATAAATAACAGAACTATTGGCCTGTTCCAGAACAGCAAGAATGTGAGCATTTTTACTACGACAACCGATTTTCTTTTATATAAAAAATAAAATGTTGAATGTTGCAAGTTCTAGAACAGAGCATATGTTGTCGGACAAATAATGCTATGTTCTCATTGCACTTTCAATCATGTTGTTCAGAATTAGGAACGCGAATTAACCTGTTCATACGGCACGATTCGTAATTCATAGTAAAATAATTCCTTTTTTTTAATTTTACAATTTTAATTCATGTTTTCAACTATTTGTGTAAATGCTGACATATATTCTTGATAAGCATAGGATTCTATATCGGTTTAGTCATGTCTGTTTCTCTGTCCGTCTGTGGAAATCACTCTAGCATTCGAACGAAATGAAGTAAGTTGATCAAATTTTGTCGAGATGCATTTTAGGTCCGTAGAAATTCTGATATTGAAAATGAGTCATATTGGTCCGCATTTTCATATAGCCCCCATATAACTGTACCGTTATATAGGTTGTAGGTTAATAACTAATTTTCTCTTTATGATATCGAAAAAAATTACAAAACTTATAGGTTCTGGAACAGAGCTAATAATTTCTACAATTGCCCGTTTTTATGTATTAAATTTAGATAAATTAAATCTTATTAATTGTATTGTTTTATGCCTACCTCATTGAGTACGCGATAGTAGTCGTTCAGCTGTGAACACAGTTTGAAAGTCACAAAAACAAAGTTTTACAGTGATTTTTGTCCGTTATCGATAAAAGAACACACCACGTCCACCAGCCCAGCACCCACCACTCAAACCCCCTTTGTTCAAACGCGCAAAATCTTGTTGAATAAGTGGTGATCCAAAGTAGTGGGGGTCATACTGACGATAACATTAATAAATTTTCTAATAAAGTCCATTTGTGAGAGAATTCCAGCATTAAGGAAAAAGTGAGAGTTTGCCAAGTATAGTTGTCTGTGTATTGTTTTTTAAGTGATAACACGCGACGACAATGTTTCACATTGAAACGACCCTTCGAGGAGTGAAGAGGGCTTATTTGTGGCTGTAATTAAACGTTTTTTAATCAAAATATTTATTGATATTTTTTGTATAGCCACATTATTAACCATTACTCTATTTACTTTGTATTGCAGTGAATTTGGGAAGAATTGCCGGTCAAACTTTTATACGTAGAGCCATGTCGACAGGTCTAGAATCTTTTGCTGTTAACAGCAAAAAAATCTTGGGTGCTGCTTTGAATTATATGTAAGTAGCAAATTTGAAAAGCTGTTTTCATAACTGACAATATACCATTTTTATAGGGACATTGTACGTGAGCGAAACGTACCTGTGCCCAAAGATCCGGTGGTATTTCTCAAACCATCTACATCATTGATTCAGGAAGGCCAAGACATTGTGGTATGTATGGCATAATCTCCGAATGTAGCATTGGAAATTTATTACTTATGTCTTGCAGATACCAAAAGTATTCACCAAAGTGGCCCATGAAGTAGAATTGGGTGTTGTCATAGGAAAAAAATGCAAAAATGTTTCGCGCGATGAAGCTTTGTCATTTATCGGAGGCTATTGCTTGGCCTTGGATATGACTGCCCAGTGTGATTTGGGTGAGGCACGTAAAAATGGACACCCCTGGTCTCTGGGCAAAGGCTTTGATACATCGACTCCAGTTTCACGTTTGCTAAAACCCGAAGAAATTGCTGATCCTCACAACTTGGATTTGTGGTTAAAAGTTAACGACAAGTTGGTGCAGGAAGGCAACACCGCCGATTTAATTTTTAATGTGGCAGATTTGATTTCGTTTTGCTCTAAATACATGACATTGGAGCCCAATGATATAATACTGACTGGAACACCGAAAAATTCGTTACCCGTTAAAAATGGCGATGTAATTGAATGTGGCATTGGAAAATTAATTAAAATGAAGTTTAACTGCAAAGATGAATAGAAATCAAATGTAAAGTTAATAATAAAAAAATCGTCGAGGCCTTATCAAGTAAATGTGTGTTTAGAGCACCAGTTGTTTCTTAATCTGTTTCAGCCGTTCTATTTTATCCATAACGGCCAACAACTCGGTTTGTATATTCGCCCCTTGGACAACCAACTCAACGGATTTCTTAAAATATTCAGTAGCATTGCGTAGAGTTGTCGGTGGCAGTGCTGCAAACCAGTGCAGTGGTTCCACATATCCTTGGCTCTTTTCCACTTTGTGTCTTATCAAATGTTTCTTCTCACCGGCAATTGTATTCTCAATGTCCAGCTCCTTTTCCACATTGCAGAGAGCTTTGAAATCCTCACTGTTTTCGGTTGGTATTTGTGCCGTACTTATTGAATTAGAGCCTTGATTGTATCGTGTCTTTGCTAGCAACAATTGTCCGGCATTATCTGCAGATAAATGGAAAATTAGCAATTATAATTCAAATCAATTGGTATGTATCAAGCAATACTCACTTATCCGTTCAATGTTAATGCGACATTCGGTATGTTGTTCAATTAAGTCTAGCAGCTCCAAATATAAAGAATCCAATAAATTATTGACATCACTTACTTGATTAGGCATATTTAATTATTTTTTTAATTTTACTTTATTTGATAAAAAGGGGAAAATGCACCAAATAATACACGATATCAACAAGAAGTCATAAGACTAGAGGTGAGCGAACAATCGATGGCGAAATCAATAGTTTCGATATTTTATTTTAAAAGGGGATATCGATTGATATTTTTTCTACGACACTATCGGATGACTTACCACTAATGCTCTGTTCCACAACAGCAAGAATGTAAAACTTTTCACTTTTCAAAATAGTAGATTCTTCCATGTTATTGAATAGAGCAACAGAAGAATTGCTTTATTCGTGAAAAAGTTTCCACACCATAGGCATCGAAAATTTTTAAGTATAAGGCTGGAAATACATAAAGCGCATATTTGTCTAGCTTAAGTCATCGGCTGGCTTCTTCGGAAATGAACAAAGGAGCCTAGGGCCAAAATCGAACTAAGTCAACCTAAACCTCCTTTGTTCATCTACGAAGAAGCCAGCCGATGACTTAAGCCAGCCAAATATGCCCTTTATGTATTTCCAGCCTAAGCCCTTTTTTTTCTAAATTAGAAAGCATCGAGCAGTAGAGTATATATTTTCTCATAATAGGCTTTTAATATTGCATTATGCCATTAATATCTTATTTTTCACTACATAAATTGCAATTTTGATTTTATTTTTTTTTTCAATCATTTCATAACCGTGGTACTATAAAATAAAGATAACCTAATTTCAATTTAGCATTCCCAGCTCTGAATTTTCTGTAACTTATCTTGTCAAATTTTAAGGCATAAAAAACATTTCCCATCTTTGATTTTGTGTGTATGCAATGGATTTATGAATATAGATTTTGACAATGAGATGTTGCATAAATTTGAAAAAAATGTAAACATATGATTACATTACCATGGGTATAACGCAATCATTGCTCTAAACAAATGTCTTCTTGCAAGATTTTACTCAATGTTGTTCGATAACATTTTGCAAAATTGAGATGAATGACTCAGTAAACTTTTTTGAGTAATTTCTACTAGAAAAGTAATCTTCCTCATCTATTCCCAAAATAGTGCAACTATAGCTTTGCTCCGGCACTTTTTATACCCTCAGCCATAGGGCTAGACATCATTGATATGGCCAAAACATGCCTTATCGAAATAACGGTTTTAGACCCTAGGTCTCTTTGGATCAAATCCGTTTCAGGACATTTGGAGTCGATCTAGATATGGCATAATTACAGAAGGTGGAACAAGATACAATCTTTTTTCTTTTTGTGCCCTTACTCTGTGAATGTATGTGTATTGTTTTGAAAAAAATTACAATAATTTGAAATTATTCCAAAATTAGGTTGCAAAATAAATGCAAATGTTCGACGTAAATGGGTAAAAAATCGTAACTCAAAAACTTCTTTTATTTCTATGCAATATTCAATCGTTTTTTAATAACAAATGACTGAAATTTTTAAAAATCGATGAAAAATGCATATAATAACAATCCACGATTTGTGTCGTATAAGAAAACCTATAAAAATCTACTTACTTTTGTCAAAAATTTTAAAATTTGTGGTGTGTCAATGTTCCCAAACGTCGACGAACCTACCTTTATTCTTCTACTATGAAATGTGATAGTGTGTACTCTTCTTAGTGATCGATAGAAATAAGTAACCATTCATATTTTACTATCGATATGATTTAATCGATTAGTCAAAAGTCGACTTAACTGTCCCTACTAAGTACTTTTCAGTTTTTTTCGTCAACGACGGATGGACTCTCTCGTTCGCACTGAATTGCAACAGAAAAATAATTCCTTTAAAAACGTGTAATTGTACAAAATAAAGTAATGGCGTTAATTTTGCTCCACTCAAACGCGATATATGCCCAGCTATATTGCTAATAGGCATTAAAGCCAAGGCAAAAATTGCTCATCGCCCACCAATTGTAAGAAAAAAAGTTACCTCGGAATTGATACGAATTGGTATTGGGTATCAGGTACCGAGTACTAAATCTCCTCTTCGTTGAAGTTGCTAGTGATGAGTCGCCATATTATTGTTGTGCGAAGAAGAAGAATTTTTTTTACCTTTCAATTATAAAAGAAAATAATTTTTTTGATATTTCACTGTGATTTCTGATTTTTCCTTTAATTTTTATTTTGTCATTAACGAAAATTTGATTCGTGTGTGCTCCCAAAGGGAGGAAAAAGATATATAAATTTATACTTTAGTGGTGTATTTGTTAAACAACTGAATTAGAAAACATTGCAAAACCCAGCATCCAACAAAAAGCTATAAAAATTAAATATATTATTAAGAACTGTTGAAGTTTATAGTTACAAAATAACATGATGAAAATGGAGACTGATAAAATAATGGATGAAACTAATTCCAATTCTCAACCTGTAAGTATTTTGTGTTGTTCATTTTTTGTTTAACTTTCCTTAAAAACCCAAATCAATTTTTTTCTAGACGTATAGCCAGTCTTTTTTTTTTGTTTTTGCTTGGATCCCTAGGTTTTTTCTTTTCATGTTCATTTTCATTTGTGTGGTGGTTGGAGTACATGAGTGCATGTGTGTGTGTTGGTGTGCGTTTGTGTATTTCATTGGTATTGTGTGTAATCCAAGGTTTTAGTTATTTAACTTTAGTTTCACCTTTATTGGGATTTTTGATTTGATCGCTCGAATGTTGTTGGGATATATACCTATTTTTGTGAATAATGATCAAGCAGTTGTAAGATGTTGATATAGGTCGTTGCAAGTAAGATGTGATCGTGTGACTAACATTTTTTTTAGTTAATTTAGCATGGATGGTGATAGCCAATAGTAGCCAAATATCTGTGGCCGTCTTTAATTGAATTATTGATTGTCAGAACCTCACAACGGAGGACTAATTAAACACAGACTTTAGCCAGAAATGTAGCAGAAATAAAATAGTTTTTCGATCAAAATTTTCGAAAATATATAAAATTAAGCTAAACTCTAGTGTAGTAAAAATTCTTCAATTAATTTGAATTTTTCCCCTGATAGGAGAAAAAGGATTTCTTTGCCTACAGGAATGCTGTCTGTTATAGGTAGTTTCTCCTTAGCCGAGATTTCTTTGGATGAGAGAGAATTTTATGTTGATTCGACTAAGTTTCAATTTTTCTTTTACTGACTTATTTTTAATTTTCAGACCGCTCCATTTCAGTGTCATCTGTTACACATTGAAAAATAGATTTAGGCGATATCCAGGAGATAGGATTAATTTGCCACAGTGTTTCGATCTAGCGATGTCTGTCTGTGGTTGATAAAATTTTACCCAAATGTATATTATGTCTGCAGAACTTTTGGTATTGAAAATGGCCCATGTAGGTTCACGTTTTGGTATAGCCCCCATATAAGGGTACCTCCCTATATTCGGTATTTTGATGATTTTAGCGACATTATTCGCCGGATTTTTTTTTCAAATTTGGTATTTGACGTTCGTAATGAATATTTCAGCCTACGACAGTAAATTGTCTGTGCAGGTTCACGTCTTCGTATAGCCCCTATATAATGGCACCTCCCTATATTCGGTATTTTCATGAGTTTAGATACATTATTCACCGGAATTATTTCAAATTTGGTATTTGCATTTCGTAATGAATATTTCAGGCAATGACAGAAAATTGCAAGTCCACGTTTTGGTATAGCCCCATATAACGACACCTCATGATATTCGGTATTTTGATTATTTTAGCGACAATATTCACCGGAATTATTTCAAGTTTGGTATTTGAAGTTCGTAATGGATACTATGACAAGTCCACGTCTTCGTATAGCCCCCATATAATGGTAACTCCCTATATTCGGTATTTTGATGATTTAAGCGACATTATTCACCGGAATTATTTCAAAATTGGTATTTTCAATTTCAATTGGTATTTGTGTAGGTCCACGTTTTGGCATAGCCCCCATATAAAGGTACCTCCCGATATTCGGTATTTTGATGATTTAGCTACATTATTCGCCTTATTTTTCAAGTTTGGCATTTGAATATTGTAATGGCTTATGACAAAAGTTGTCTATGCAGGTCCACGTCATCGTATACAGCCTAGTATAACGGCTTCATTCGGTGTTTTTAAGATTTTAACAGAATTTTTAACCAAATGGTTGAGGCTATTCGGCCCGGCCTAACTTACAACCTTTTTACATGTTGTATATTAAAATCAAAACCATGGCCTATGTAAGGTCGGCTAGTAAGCTCATTTAGCCACTAAGTTTGCTGTCAAAAACATAATTTTAATTTGAAATACAAAGAGAATCAAAAAACTATTTGGTTTATTGGCAAACTTGACCGATATTTTTTAGTCCTTGCCCAAAACATATTCATATTCTTTCATGATGACTTCTTGCCTCTCTGACTGAATAAACATTTCATATTCTATTTAAATGTATTAAGTCATATCCAAAAAAAGTGACTATATTATAAAATAATGCGGTAGTAACATATGTATTTTTTTTTTAATGAAACTATATACTGCAATTGTATTTCTCGCTGTTGTTGTTGTTGCTGCTGCTTTCATGAACATACCTGCTTACCTTCATTTAATACATTTTGCTCATATTTTTTCGTCTACAAGTTTAAATATCAATTTGCTTCAAGCACAAGTGTCAAGGTTAAAAATGTAAAAAAAGCAAACATTTCTTAATAATGTCTATTTGAATTTGGAATTGAAAACTACCACCGAAAAACCATTTATAATTTATATTGTTTGCAATTACCCAACAACACACAACGGTTGTTTATAAGCGTTTAAAAAAATATGTGTTAGGTGATCGCCGCCGTTGTTGTTGTTGCAGCCTTTATAATTTATAATTATTTTTTTAAGTAGCTGTTGAATGTTACCTTCAGTCGTATCATCAAGTCTCAGTTAGTGTGACAGCCAACCAGCCAGCCAGCAGTAATAAGCAACATGTGTTGACATTGTTAGCTAGCAAATGCTCTCTATTTGTCGCTTTGTCTCGAAATAATTTTACGCTATTACTTCAACGCAAGTATGTTGTGTAAGTGTGTGTCTCTTTTTTTTTGTGAATTTGCAAATGGCATATGAGGGACCAGCATCTGATAGTTAAATACATGGGAATTAAAAATTTATAATTGAATCATAGATATCTAATGCAAAATTTCATAACACGTCTCATTATTTTACTATCAGTAAGGGTTTGGTACATTTGAAGACTATTCTTATCCAGAAAAGTAGTAAAGCCTACTTTCGGCTGTTCTCTTGAATTTTTAAAACCAATGAGATGGGATAGATTGATATAAAAGAAGTATTTGCTTATCAATGATGCAGATTTTATACCCTACACCATAGTATGGAGGGTATATTAAGTTTGTCATTCCGTTTGTAACACCTCGAAATATACATTTTAGAACTCACAAATCAGCATAAAATTCTATGCCGATTTAGCGATGTCCGACTGTCTATCCGTTTCTGGAAATCACTCTAATGTCCGAACAAAATGAAGTAGATTGATAAAATTTTACTCAAATGTATATTATGTCTGCAGGACTTTTGGTATTGAAAATGGACCATGTAGATAGGTATGTAGGTACCGATATTCGGTATTTTCATGATTTTAGCGACATTATTCACCGGGTTTGTTTCAAATTTGGTATCTGAAGTTCGAAATGGATACTACAGCCTAAGGCAGAAAATTTTCTGTAAAGGTCCACGGTAATTTGTTGATTTAAGCGACATTATTTACCGGAATTATTTCAAATTTGGTATTTGATGTTCGTAATGGATGCTTCAGCCCATGACAAAGATGGTCTGTGCAGGTCCACGTCTTCGTATAGCCCCCATATAATGGTACCTCCCAATATTCGGTAATTTGATGGTTTCAGCGACATTATTCAACGGAATTGTTTCAAATTTGTTATTTGTAGTTGGCAATGAATACTACAGCCTATGACAGGAAATTGTCTTTGCAGGTCCACGTTTTGGTGTAGCCCCCATATAACGGTACCTTCCTATATTCTGTGTTTTGACGATCTTAGCGACATTATTCAACGGAATTGTTTCAAATTTGGTATTTGAAGTTTGTAATGGATGCTATAGCCTAAGACAGAAAATTGTCTATTCAGGTCCACGTTTTGGTGTAGCCCCCATGTAGCGGTACCTCCCGTTATTCGGTAATTTGCTGATTTTAGATACATTATTCACCAATTTTTTCAATTTTCGCATTTTAATATTGCTTATGACAAAAGTTTCCTATGCAAGTCCACATCGTCGTATAAATCCCAATATAAAGGCTACATTCGGTATTTTTAAGATTTTTACAGGATTTTGAAAGGGATTTTATTTATTTATTGCCAAACTAGTTCCAAATAGTGGAGGGTATTCAAAATTCGGTCCGGCCGAACTTAGAGCTTTTTTACTTGTTTACCTCATGGTTAAGCTTATTGAAAGTTCGGCCGAACTTAAGATATTTATGATTGTTCTTTCACAACGAACCATGAAATTACCGGAGAGACGGGAACAGACTTTAAAATGACCAGCGATTCTAAGAAAATATTTCATCAATCGTATTTTTCTTAGGCAATGCAATTTTTACATTTCTAACCGATCTTCCAAACCACTTTATTATATATAAGGTAACAGACTACACCAGATCGGATGTATCATACGTCCGTCCTTGTTAGCTTCTTTGGAGGTAGTTTTCATCTTCCATCCATCATCTGGAGGTTAACGTTTGCTTGGATTGGTCCACGGCCTTCTTTAGAAATGTGGCCAAGCAAAAGACTTATAATTCTTTGATGTGGTAGGTGGATCCCTTGGTTCCGAGGCTGTTTCTCCGGCAACCCTTTGGGGTTAAGATTTATATTTTTATACTGCAAAAACTTGCTTACAGCGATCATTGACATGATGAGTTTTAAAGTTAAAATTAAAAAAAAAAATGAAAATTTATTCTAAGTTGCCATATTTTTAGCGCAAATTTAGTTTTCTTTTCTTGCGTGGAAATAGGTTTTCTCTTTCACGTTAAATTCTACCTTCTGATTCACATTCTCTGCCAATACAGTTCTTAAATATAAACCATCAATTCTTAATTATAAATAAAATAAGTTATTTGATTTCTCTTCTAAAAACTTTAAAATTTGTTTCTTTATTTGTCCCTAATTTTCGAAACCAACATAAATTTTATAACTCTTCCCTGTTTTTTTTATTTTCAGTTTACTACAACGATGCTGTATGATCCCGTACGAAAGAAAGAATCTTCACCCACATTTCAAGTAGAACGCGATACCTGCTTAACATATTTTTCACAATGGAACGAAACTGATCAGGTGGATTTTGTTGAGCAACTTTTATCGCGTATGTGTCATTATCAGCATGGTCACATCGATGCGTTCCTAAAACCAATGTTACAAAGGGATTTCATTTCACTATTGCCGAGTAAGTTATGTTTGCATTAGATTTGAATAATACAAATCGATATTGGTATTAAATGTTATTAAAAGATCTAAATAGAGGTCGAAGTTTAGAAGATATGTATTAAAGTTTGCAAATATTTAAACGTTGTTATGCAAATGTAGTTAAAAAAAGATACAAAAAATTGAAATTTCCTGAAGGCTCAAAAAAGTTCAAATTTAAATAAATAATACCCAGGAAAATGTAATGGCAGTGTTTTAAAATTATTTCACTGTTTAAGGATCTGCTGGTCTATTGAGTTCATCCTGAAAATGAGACAGATCATGCGTAATTTGCTCCCACATAAGTCTATGTCTCACATTGTTTCAGTTTCCTTCTCATCATGACAAAGATTGCATTAATAGGCGCGTGACCAACCTATTTAGAAGTCATGGTTCTTATGTTACAGTAACCTGTGATGATTCCTACCAAAAGTTTTAGGTTTGATTTAGCCATGGAGATGAGCGACCCTGATCTCTTCACGGATAGTATCTGCTGAATTTTTTTCGAGACTTTACTTCCTCTTTCACATAGCCAGTTTTGTTGAAATCAGCCGGAATAATGTTTACATATCACTTGGAAGTAGTGGTTTCACCAAGTTGTCGATCTAAATATCAGGCTAGAGATGAGTTGTAACTCGTCCAGACGCACCTGGGGTTGTATAGTTGTTGTTGTTGTAGCAGTAGTATATGTGAGTGTTTGCCTTCTGCTAATCTGGTTCAAGTTATAGGTTTAAAAATTCGACTACTTTAACGGGCTGTAGCCAGAGATCTAGAGTGAGTTGGGTAGATTCGGCTGTGCAATTAAAGAAGTGCAGCGTATTGTGCGTGCCTGTATGACACGCCGGGCAGACGTCACGCACATCTTCGTCAATTCGTGCCCAATACGAATTGAGACGACTACACCATCATGAACGTAATTGCGCCAAAACTAGGCTAGGTTTGTTTAGGCAGTTGGCGTTCTTCAGCTGAAATGGATGGGGGATGGACTCCGAGGACGGCCTTCATCATCTAACTGCTGATAGCATCTGCGAGTGCATCGGTATGAATGCCACTCAGACCTGCCTGATAGGTTTCTTGATATAGAGGTTCTCTCTTATAGCGTTGGACCTCCCTTTATGATAGGCCTGGGTAGGGGAGTTGTATCAACCATATGATGTTTGGGAGGCCTCTCACGGTAACACCCAAGCGGGTACTGCAACGAAAGCATATGATTATGCTGACGCAAGGGAAGGACTTCGACTCCTCATGTAGGTGTCATGAGGAGGCATCCTGTTACAGTTCTCAGGACAGCATTTTGGCAGGTCTGAATGTGCTTCCACTGCGTATCACTAGTATTCGCAGACCACACTGGAGCCGCATAGCTCACCATATACCGACCTATTGCGTTATAAGAGGTCAACAACGTTTCCTTGTCCGCACCCAAAGTGCTGTCGGCTAGCGCCTTGAGAACTTTGTTCCTACTTCTTTACAATCCAACGGCAGCGGGTTTTACGATACCGGATTGATCCGAAACAACAACATACGAGTTTCGGCAAGCGGCTGCCAACCAAGTATGTACATGTTGATGTCTAGTGGCTTGTTCAGCAGTTGGGTTTTGGCCCCTCTTCCTATCTGTTTTCCACACCCCCTTAAAACCGCAAAATGTTTTAGTTCTCTGAGTTTATAAACATATATGTTTCGCTCAATATAAATTTAAAGGTAACCAAGAGCCGCAATATGCATCCAATATCAATGAAGACATAACAAAGATCCTTAAAATATTTCTGATTTCCGTTCAGATTTACATCCCCCATCCATTTTCCAGTTTCCATAATATATGCCCAAATAGAACGAATTTTTACAAAGGAGGTCAATTTCAATCTATAAGTAAATCTTAGAAATTTAGAGACATACGTTCAAGTTTAAATATATCTGTCTTTCTGATGTTTTCTCATTTTGGATGGTGAATATAGTCCAATATAACTTTACACTTGTTTTTGAAAATAAAATTAATGAGCCCTACTAGAAACAAATCTTATTTTCATATAGAGCACAGATAAAACATGATAATTATATATCGTTGACACTAACACACACTTCGAGAAACATTTTGTGAACCAAACCTTCTCTTAACCCAACTCGGATTATTTACAACATTCTAGAATTTTTGATATTTCGCCTGTTCCCACTTAACTCTGTTATTTATTCTTGAAGTTGTGAGTAGCTGTTGCTGTTGTTCGACAATTATATTGAGTGCTTGTGCTGCTGCTGGTACGCGTTTTGTTTTTATTCCTCTTCCGTGTGTATTTGCAATGAAAGCAATGACCTTTAAATTAGCGCCTCCTCATTTCAAGATATTAAAACCAAAATAAAACAAAAACAAATCACAAAAAAACTCTGTAATAACATCAGAAGCTGAAAACACACACAAAATTAAACACTAAATGACGAATGACAACCAAAAAATTAAAAAAAAAGATTACACACCAAAATGAATGATATTTTTTCACATAACAACCTTCGTGTTCTACGTATTACACATGTACGAGTATATCTATTTACTTGAGGCAATTGCTTTTTTTTATGAAACGAAATTTAATACTGCATCCGAAACCGATATAGAAGTACCTCCCGATTTTTGGTATTTTGAAGCATTTCACTTCGATTTTCAATCAAATCAGCTGTAGTTTGGTATTCAAGGTTCGGTGGGAAGCTTAATTCCTCAGAAAAGCAAATTAGAATATATCAGTCGGTTTTGCCGACAAATGTATATCCTTAGCCAACGTTTGGTTATTTAAATATATTTCGACTTGCGTTATGATTATGGAAACTGTTGACCCTTCAAGGTTCCAAAACAGTTGGCCAATATTGACCAATTCGTATCTGACCAAAGACTGATGTAAATATTACAACGTGCCAGATTTGGACTATATCGACTAATTCCTTTACTTTATATGTGATATGTTCAAATTTTTGGAAAACGCGGAAATATGCGTGAGGTAAAAGATATAGCGGAGCGAAGTATTTCATTTTCATATAATCAGATAAAAATATTGGTATGGTCACAATTTAAAAAAATTCGAACATTTACAGGGTGAGATAAAAAACTGCAACAAAGTCAAACGCCATAATTTTTAAAATTTTATTTTTTTATTTTATTGAATGAAAGCAAAAAGTTTCGGAAATAGCATCAAATTTTAGGATAAGTTTAGATTTGTTCGAATTGATCATCTTTGGCACGAATTATGGCCTTCAAACGGCCAATGAAACCGTCACACGCTGCCCGAATGTTGCTCTGGTGGTATTCTGGCCCATTCCCGGCGAAGCGCTTGCTTGGGGTTATCGACACTTTGGTACTTGTTTGTGCCAACCTTGCTTTTCAAAATACTCCAGACACAACAGTCCAACGGATTGGCATCCAGATATTTTTGTGGCCATTCTTGGGTGGAGCGTGCTGAGTCCTGTTGGAATGTCTAAGGTCTGTGGCCAAAATGTTTGCGTGCTCAAGGCTTTAATATACCCTCCAGAATATGTTCGCGATAAAATTCGGCATTTTTCGGCTGTTATGGCGGCCCACAACATCACCATGGCCGGCGCTTGGGTTCTGGTGGCCAACTTAAGGTGCACATTTTCAGCTGACCTCTTTGGCAAGTAAACACGATCATTTTGTTTGTTTCCAAACTGCTGGACAACGAATGTTTTCTTATCGCAGAAGACCAAATTCGGCCGAGCGAAGCAATTCTTTAGCTCTTTTGAGTCTACTTTCTTTCTGTTGCGGTGTAAGTTCTTGCACTTTTTGGAATTGCAATGGCTCTACCCCGAGCTCATTTTTCAATATTTGCCGAATGGAATATGGCGATATGTTCAGCTCACGATCCATTTTTCGGCCACTGCGACGCGGGTTTCGATCAAATCGCACTTTACTTTTCAAACTATTTCTGCTGATGTTGCTGTTTTCTTCCGTCCACTTCCTTGACATCGGGCTACGCTACCAGTATCACGGTATCGACAATCGGACATTTTAAAAGAGTTATAATTATTCAGAATTGCAACTTTTTGTGGGAAAGGTACTTGATGTAGTGGCACTGATGCAGATATTAGGATTTGCAAAGTTGGAACAAAATCGGATTATCCTTTCTCTATCTGTGCGGTAAAATATATATATTTTAAATGTTGAACTGTTTCTAGTTCGTTATGGTTTCTAGCTCTAGTGGCGGAACACTGCACATTTAGGTGCACGTGTTCGCATAGCCCCCATATAAGGGTAACTCCCGATATTCGATATTTTGATGACTTTTGACACATTTTTCAACGGATTTGTCCCAAAATTAGCATTTGAAGTTCGTAATTGGTTCTAACTCCGATGGAGGAACATTGTACATATACGTACCTCCCGATATTCGGTATTTTGCTGGTTTTTCTACGGATTTGTCTAAAAATTGGTATTTGTATAGTTCGTAATGGAGGGTATTAGAAGTTCGGCCCGGTCGGACTTAATGTCTTTTTAAAAGTCATATGTAAATTTGTCGCAATATAGCATTTCGGGTTCTCCATGGAGTAGAAGGTTCCTGGGCAAACCTTCTCCTAAAAGTTCATTTTCCCATTTTCCAACCAAATTCATAATCAAACCTATTGTTTCTTCTCAACAAAAGTTCATCGCCTATGTTTCTATCAATTTTCTGCTAAACCAAATATCTAATAAAAAGGAAGCTACGAATGAGAAAAGAAAGCAACATTACTTTTAGGTGGAAAACCAGTTTCATATTTATTTATTTTTTTTTTGGGACAATAAAGATGATGTTGGTAATTTACTGCCTACAATGAGGCTAGAAAATAAATTATAGGAAGTTTACGACGAGAGCATTAGTTTGCAAATGGAGGAAGCAAACGGTCCGGGTGCGTGTGTATGTATGCCATTGTAGTGTGCCTTTATTTGGTTTTAAATTTCTTTGTTGCTGATTTTAAATGAGGTCGGTCTCACTTTATTTCGGTTTCGACAACTTC